ACCTGGTTACTAAAATGATGAAAAGTTTGCTTTAAACAGAATTTGTGCTGGAAAATAATATATAAATCAAAATGAATAATAGGTACCACATTCCATTTTTAGGTGGATTTTATAAGCATATAGTTTGTATTTTGTCAGTCTGTCTTCTCAGGCATACACCACAATCTTATTTTTTGTTGCAAAGAAAGATGAGAGTCAAACTGTGTACTGAATAGTTACTTAAAGTTGTGGACTCTCCAATATGATAGGAATCTAATACAGTCACTTTGTAACTGTGTGACTTTGGGTAAATTACCTGACTTCCTTCAGATCAGGATTTCATTTTGTTGTGTGTGTGTGTGTTGATGAAAAATAGAACTTTTAAAAAATGGGTACCTAATTTATAGAGTTATAAAGAATAGTCAGTTGATGTGAAATCCTTACAACAGTGTTGGGCACATAACAAGCCATCAGTGAATAAGTGCTAACTGTTATTATGGTGATATTTTTTTTTTTTAATTAACTTAGAGCAAGCATCCATGAGTCCATGATTTTCTCACCACAAAATTCCTAATAACTTTTCTGCAAACCTATATGTAGGTGAGTGATTAAACCGTATGTCAGCAAGCTTACTTTTGCTTATGTTTGTGTTGGCTTTAGCAAGGTCAGGGAACTGATGTACAGAAGACCATATGTATGGAAGGAGCATAGCTTTTGCTAATAACTGCTGACATCCCTCTTGGATTTTGCAAAATTTGACCAGAATATTCACAATTTGCCAAGTTCAGCTAACATATGCCTTGAAGTCAGCAAAAGATTGTTTCTTATAAACATCGTATTTAAGATCCTGTAGGTCTGTGGAAAACCTCCAGGGTGACTTCATTGCATAGCAGTAACACATGACACAATTTCTGTCTTATGAAAAATATTTTATGATGGCACAAATTCTGCTGGCCTGCTTTTTTAAAAGATAAGGACAGACTAGAAGTAGACCATATAAAAGACTGTGTGTGAGTCAGGAAGACTCATCATCATTATTAGAATAAAATGAGGGATCAAACTATTGACATTAAAAAACAAATGGAGATATCTCAAATGCATCTCACGAAATGAGAAACAAGATGCAAAAAGCTCATTTATTGTGATTCCATCTACATGACTTTTGGGGAAAGAACAGATCAGTGGTTACCAGGAGCTGGTATGGGAATCTGGAAATGGAGAGAAGGTTGGTCACCATGGAAATGTTCTGCATTTTAATTGTAGTAGTGGTTACATGATTTAATGCATTTTCTAAACCTCCTAGAAAAATACACCACAAAGGGTGAATTTTATTATTTGTAAATTATGCCTTAGTGGATCTGACTTTAAAAAACAGAAGGATTGGTCATATCAGTGCAGGCAAGTGTTCTTGTGTAAAGGATTGCGTTATTTTCTATTTCTTCCTCAGAAATATTGATATTTCTCATGTATATTTTGCATTTGTGTCACTTATTACAGGTTCAGAAGTCACCTTAGTTTTATTAAGTATTTAAATTTTATTTTCTTTCTCCTTGAAAGAGGAGTTGCTTGAGAGTTTTTCAGTTTCCTGGAATCTACTGAGTGTATGTATGTATGTGTGTACAATTAAATATATCGCATATCATAGTATTTAAGTTTTCTATATAAGCTGGGATACTTCTAAATCATACATAACATTTAGCCAGGTCTGAACAATGACAAACTTCATTGGCTTTGTCCCTGTGGTTATAGGATGGCTGTGCATGGATTGAACTCCAGGAACCCTTATTCATGTGGTAGATTTCCAAAGAAATCTCTTTTCCTCTGATTTTCCATAAGAATTGGGAGCTCCTGTTGCCAGAGTCCTCAATATATATATATATATATATATATATATATTTCATCCTGTCTCATTGCCTCCTGAACTACTCATTGTACTGATTTTTTAAAATCATTCAAGGTCTTCCTTTTGACCTGAGAATGAGGTCTGTTTCCTCAAAAGAAATTACTATACAGCAGTAGGGTTTATCTAACCAAATCTGGATACCATTTAGAAATTGGGGAGCAGGGGGTGGGAGAGGATGCCAGGCAGTCAACTAATAATATTAGTACTTGGCCTTGAATTTGTTAAGTTAAATTAAAATTTTGACTAACTGAGGAGATGATGACTACATAGTTCTTATTTCAATTTTTTGAGTCCACAGATTATTTACACATTTTAATAAAGATTTCACATAAAAATGCTTCATTCTGATGCTTCTGTAATGAGCAACATAGCTTTTCACATTATAATTAATATCACACATAGAACATAAAGTAGATCTCATGTGTTGCACAGAGAAGCATTCATAGAACTTAACAGCATTTTATCCACAGTTTACAGTGTAGAATCTAGCCAGGCATGGTGGCATGTGCCAGTGCTCCCACTGCACAGGAGGGTGAGGCAAGAGGATTGTGAGTTTGAGGACAGTCTGAGCAACAGGATGAAAACACATCTCAAAATAATAATAATAATAATAACAATAAAATGAAGTGTAGCATCTATATGCAAATGAGACTCTACTGGCTTAAAACATACTTTGGTTTACTTTGCTACTATTTTTTCCTAAACCCTTATTATACTCCTGGAGCAAAATGGTATATCAGCAAAGTTCTAGGTAGAAATTCCTCAATGTAATATGACTCAAGTATAAAATATACAGTGCAGGGCTGGGGTTGTGGCTCAGTGGTGGAGCGCTTGCCTTGCACATGTGTGGTACTGGGTTAGATCCTCAGCACCACAAAAATAAATAAAGGTATTGTGTTTATCTACAACCAAAAAAATTGCATTTAAAAAAATACAGTGCATTGTAATAAGACAAAGACTGAGGGCTTTGAATAGTTGAAGGAATAGAAATTCAGCTGACTGTCAAAGGAAAAGTCAGTCTTAGACTGTAGAGACATACAGTAAGAGCGTGTGCCAGGCAGAGAGGATGGAAAGAAGAAAGGTGCAGAGATGGCCAGAGACATGCTTGAATAATGATGAAATGTCTTCAGTTGATATGTTTGGAGGGAAAAAGGCCTTTAAATATAGAGTGAGAAATGAGTTTCAGGAAGTAAGTAGAGGTTTAAATTACCCTAAATGGTACATAAAGTGTGGATTTTATTTTTTGAGTTAGAGGAAGGATACTGATAGCTTTTGTTTCTATGGGAAGTAGGATTATGTGTGCAAAGCAAAGCTTTAGACCAATTACTCATATAGCCATATACAGGGTGGGGGCCGGTAAGGAAACAAATTTTGGAATTAGATCATTTGGAAACTTGATTGGTCTGGGCATAACATGATATGTGCAAAACAGGGTGGCAATGATGAAAACTTAAAGGGTAAATGCTGGAGACATATCCTGAGTAGGACTTGGTAGCTGTCTAATTCCACGGGAGGGATCCAAAAATAAAGTAATTCAAGCTTCCGAAGCCAGATAACTGAAAAGGGATAGTACCATTACCAGAATGGGAAACTTTGGGGTTTGGTAGTGAGGGGAGAGGTTCTCAAAAAAAAAAAAAAAAAATGAGTTTGACATGGCATCAAAGTACTAATAAATAGATGGACAAAGTGGTTAATATGTGTGGCTAGTACTCCTTCACTCACCCAGCAATATTTTATTGAATGTCAGTGTTTTCAGGGAGGCATTGTAGTAAACACAGGAGCAGATAGAAATATTTCTATAGGTCTGAGAAGGTAGCTTAGTGGTAGAATGCTTGCCTAGCATGTTGGAGGCCCTGTACTTTATGCTCTCGGTGTAATATTCATTCTAATGTGCAAAATTATGTTGCTTATTACAGAAGCATTGGAATAAGGTGTTTTTATGTGAAGTCTTTATAATGTGTAAATAATCTGTGGTCTCAAAAAATTGAAATAAGAACTATATAGTCATCATTTCCTCAATTAGTCAACTCAGTAAATTCCTCAATTGATGAACTCAGTAAATTTAGGGCAAAATACCATCATTGTTGATTGGGAAAAAATGTCCCTATAATTATGAAACAAGCTTGTACAAATATATCTGAGGGTTAAGTACAAACATACTGAGGAAATAATAAAGTGGAATTTAGTTGAAAACAATGTAGGTGGAGCTGCATATAGTGACACATGCCTATAATCTGAGCTACTTGAGAGGCTGAAACAGGAGGATCACAAGTTCAAGGCCAGCCTTAGGAACTTAGGGAGACCCTGTCTTAAAATAAAAAAAAAGTCTGGTGTTGCAGCTGGTAGAGTACTAGCCTATTATGCTTAAGACCCTGATTTCAATTCCCAATACCACAAAAATGGGGAGATGGAAGGAAAGAAATAATAATGGGGTAGAATGAGGTGAGGGAGGACACAGGTGAAACATAGACATTAACAATGAGTTGATATCTACAAATCTCAGCAAGGGACACATACAGTTCATCTACTGTTGTCTTTACTACTAGACATAATTGAAATTTTCCTAAAGTATTTTTTTTAATTGATGGACAGAATACCTTTATTTTATTTGTTTATTTTTATGTGGTGCTAAAGATTAAACCCAGTGCCTCACACGTGCAAGGCAAGTGCTCTGCCACTGAGCTACAGCCCCAGCCCCCTAAAGTATTTTTTAAAGGCAAAATGTTTTGTGCATAGAGTCAATAGTTAGACAAGACATTAGGGAGAGTGATGAAATCATTTCCAAAGAATAGCCTGAGAGGTAGGTGAAAATGAGTTAAGTGTAGTGCTAAGAAAAGGAAAAGATGTTTCGAGGAGAAGGCAAATGGTAGTGTTGACTGCTGCTACAGAAGTTAAAGAAGCTGTAGTTCCAACCTAATTGCTTGCTTGGTTCTAATTTTGTTCAATTCTGTCTGGATGAACAGATAGACATTTCTGTCTTGTCGGCTGACATGAATTGAGGACCTGAGAAACTTGAGCAAACTGCTTTGATCAAACCATTAGAGGAGAGGTGTTTATTACTTGAGAAATATTGTCCAGGGTTCATTTCCTGATGTGTGATTATCTGCTCTATTTTTAGGAAACTAATGAACAAAAACTTCACAAAATAGCCAATGAACTTTTGCTTACAGAGAGAGCTTACGTCAACCGACTCGACCTCTTAGATCAGGTAATGTTTTCCCTTTCAGAATCATTTTATGTCTCAGCATTGTACATCATTTAAACCTAATAATTAAAGTGTTATAGAAACTGCAAAATGGGCTTGTTTTTAGCCAGTGAAAGCTATTTGTTCAAGGAAATCTTTAGCACTCTCAGCATTATTGGTGAATTCACTGGGTATGGATATTTTATAATTCACAAAAGTAGAGGTTTCTTTCTGTGCAAATCACAAAATGACTTTATCTGTGTCCCACAGTGTTAAACATTAGCCTGTTTTTGTTTTGTTTTTTTATCTTTACTCTGATCCTGACTGGAGAGCCATATTACTATTATAATCTAAATAAGATATTGGTGGTTATAACGCTAACATGAATATATGTGATTGTGTTTGAATTGTTTTTGTTTAGCAGAAACCAATCTGAGAGTGATCTTAGTTGGTGCAGTTATAGGATTTTGAGTTTAATTGTTCAACCTTGTATACTTGTAGTAGTAACTGACATAAAGTCATCCAGCAAATATTTGCTGAATATGTGGATCAACTTAATCACATTTTGTATTTCATCATGTTGGGGGGAGCCTTGTATTATTTCAAATATATTATTGGGGAAGTTTTTAAATGCATTATAAGGTAACTGTTGGAAACTAATGCATTATAATCCTACTTTAGCTATAAAAGACATGACATTTAATAGATTGTCTGCAAATAAATTCCTCTTGTTAAAGCTACCATGTTTGAGTGTTAGTTGTAAGAATTAACCCACTTTCTGCCACTGGAAAATTGGAATTTCATGGAAACAGACTGTCCTGGCACACCTTATCCTTGTTGTCTAGAGTGATCTATGTACCTGGTGCAGTGATCCTTGAGGTGCCAGCTTATATGACCTCACTATAAAATAAAACCTCAACTAGAACTTCTCTATCTCAAATAGTGAGGTTAATATACTCTACTATTTAAAATAGTGTATAGTTCAAATACTCACTTTTTAAGAAATTTCACCATAAAACAAAATCAATTTATGAGGAGCTTGGGCCTTTTGAGCAACTTGTTTTCCTTGCGCAGGAATTATAGACCTTGGAACATTTAGGTGCTCATAGTAAAGATATGTCTTTTCCTCTTTGCAAATTTTCTTTCTTTCTTTCTTTTTCTTTCTCTTTCTTTTCTTTCTTGATCTTAAGCCAAATTAACTTAGCTACAGTTGCTGACCTTTTAGAATCTTAGTATTAATTATTATAGTATCCTACCTATTGGTATCTCTAAGGACATAATTTTGTTCTTTTTGCCTCCCAAGAAAATGCAGTGGAGGTGAATTTAGAACATTAACAACCATCTGGACATTATGAAGGAACAGATCTCCTTCTGCCTACATTTAACAGAATGGCAATGAAGAGGTATAGTAGACCTAGTGGAGAATAGCTAAGGCTCAAGGTGGTTCTTTTTTCCTTATTATTATTTTTTTCTTAATTGTCTCTAAGGGACTTGTTACTCTGTATAGAAGATCCCACACACACACACACCCCATCAGTGTTTTAAGTTTTCATGTTTTATTGTTTACTAAAAAGCAAATAAACATTTGAGAACTGAAATGAACTTTTGTTCACTCATTGGCCTCTTCTGTTGTGGGAACTAAATCCTGTATCCTCCCTTTCCAAGATACATCAATTTTAATAAGGAAAAATAAGATATAAGTCAACCAATTTCAATAAAGGGCAATATGTAATAAGTGCTGGAGAAGTCATTCAAAACATAAACGGAAATGAAACGCCACAGTTACTGTGTGCATGTAAAGTACTTTCACATCCCTTAACTCTGGCTGTAGGTAGGAAGGGTAAATCCTATTAACCTCAACTGGATTTTCTCTGGCACAGAAAGGTATATTATTAACATCCCACAGATAGGAGCCGCGTGCAGGTTAAAAATCAAGCTTCCTAATTCTTATTTGTGGTTCTTCCAAATCAGAGTATATATCCTTACTACATTTCAAACAGTCGACTTCTTGAATCATGAACTTCTCCATTTATTCAATAAAATGCTATAAAGGTCCTGCTACAGGCCTAGCACAGTGCTAGTTGGTTAACCCACAGAGTGAAGTAATATTTGCTTTATTCTTTTACTCAGGTATTTTATTGCAAACTATTGGAAGAAGCAAACCGAGGTTCATTTCCAGCAGAGATGGTGAATAAAATCTTTTCTAACATTTCATCAATAAATGCCTTCCATAGTAAATTCCTCTTGCCAGAGCTGGAGAAACGAATGCAAGAATGGTAAGAGGAGTAGACAGAAACGATATGTCTAAGGCAGTCATATAATATGCTGTATTGTTCAGCTTTTCAGTTCAAATAGAAATGCCACACACAGCTCTAGCTAGACATTGTGCCAACTTTTTACATTAAAGACTAAGAAGTTGTGGTACGTTTTCAGCGACATCTGAAAAGCATTTTATCTCTGCGCTCCAAACTGTCTTTTGACTAGTAAAGACAAGATATCAGGGGTAACCTGGACCTTCAAAGATTCCATAGCATCTCTCTTTACTATGGCATTCCTCAACTGCCTTGGAAAAAGAGCTTCTTTATTCTCTACCCGTCTCACAGCAAGATGGATCTGAGGAAGCACAGAGTGTGTGTAGAAAGTGAAGACTTCATCTGCAGTCTGTGAATTGGCTTGTTCTACAGAAAACTTTAAAGATTTATTTCTTTATTCGATCCAGGGAAACCACTCCTCGGATTGGAGACATCCTTCAGAAATTGGCGCCATTCCTTAAGATGTATGGAGAATATGTGAAGGGATTTGATAATGCAATGGAATTGGTCAAAAACATGACAGAACGAGTTCCCCAGTTCAAATTGGTGATTGAAGAAATTCAGGTAACAGGACAGTTTTGTTCAAAGTTACGAATTAATTTTTCTATCAAATTTATATGGTCTTCTAGATCTAAGATTGCCGATCTAAATTTGTCTGAGATACCCATTCTACTGAACTATGCGAAGATATCTCTAAGAAGTTAAAATACCTGTTGGGCACAGGCCACATACTAAGTGCTAAATTCTCCATTTGTTTATGAGACCAGAGACTGACTGCATTAGGGTTCACATAAATTTGCAGAGCGAATTTCCCCTTTGCGAGTTTCAGAGCTTCACATGTGTGATGGAATATAAATATAAACAATGATTGCTGTGAACCTTGAGTTTTTGGAATAACAATAATATTTTTAGGTCACTTTATACTGATTTTCTTCTATTCTACCAAATCTGGATAATACATTTTAATAATTCCATAGTAATTTTCTTTTGATATTCTAGTCAAAATTGTTAATAACTTACTCTTTGAAAGAGTTGTTAAGTTGAAAAGGCATTTTCTCCATCACATAACGATCTTGGGATTGGGATTTTATAGTTCTTTGCCTTCTGTTGTATTATATAAATAATGGCACCATCTTAATAATCCTTACTTTTAAACTACTCTTAGTTACTTTCCAGTGACTGCTCTTGGGATTATAATATGCATTTATCACAGCCTACTTCATATTATATTCTCTGACACTTTGCTCTAATACAGCTCTTTCTCCATGCTGTGCTGTTAGTGTTATATATATTACATTTTTTGTGTGTTTTAAATCTGACAATATAGTGATGTTTTATAATTTATAATTGTTTTACAAAATTTTATGTATATTAAAAAGTTAAGGGAGGATATAAAAATATATTTATAAAACATTTATATTCAACCATGTATTTGCCATTTCTGGAGTAATTTTCTTTCAGTATAAAAATGACTATTGTTTCCTTTAAGGTAGATCAGCTAACAATGAAATCTGTCAGTCATTATTTTTATCCAGGAATATTCTCCCCCCCCCTCACTTTTGAATGATACTTTTACTAGATACCAAATTCTTTTTGTTTGTTTGTTTTTGTAAAATCGAACTTTTAAAAAATTTTTAATTTGTTCTTGTTAGTTATACATTACAGTAGAATATATTGACATATTATTTGTGGAGTATAGCTTCCCATTTTTGTAGTTGTACATGATGTGGAGTTTCACTGGTCATATTTTCAGATAGGAACACAGGAAAGTTATGTCTGATTCATTCTACTATCTTTCCTATTCACATCCCTTCTCCCTTCCCTTCATTCTCCTTTGTCTAATCCAGTGAACTTCTATCCCCTCACCCTTATTGTGAATTAGCATCTGCATTCAGAGCAGCCTCTGGTCTTTTGGGATTGGCTTATTTCATTTAGCATGATAGTCTCTAGTTCCATCCATTAATCAGCAAATGCCATAATTTTATTTTTCTTTATAGCTAAGTAATATTTCCATTGTGTATACATACCACATTTTCTTTATCCGTTCATCTGTTGAAGGTCATTAGGTTGTTTCCATAGTTTAGCTATTGTGAATTGAACTGCTTAAACATTGATGTGGCCGCCTCACTGTGGTATGCTGATTTTAAGTCCTTTGGGTATTCCAAGGAGTGATGGAATTCTTAACTGATAGGTTCCCCCCTGCACTTTGAACATGGTCACTCTCACTGCTTTCTTTCCTCCACCAGTCATTAATTTTATCAGTACTTTCCTGTGTGTGATTAATCATTTTTCTCTTCCTGCTTTCAAGATTTGTTATTTGTTGCTGGCTTTCAATAGTTGGAATAGGATGTATCTGTGTGGGGATCTTTTTGTATTTGTATTGAGCTGGTTGATCTTCTTTCATTTCTAGATTAATATTTTAAAAATCATTTTTAGGAGTTTTTGGCCATTATTTCTTTAAGTTTTTTTTGTTTTGTTTTGTTTTGTTTTAATCCCGTTACACAAATGCTGCTATTCTTGATGTTATCCCACAAGTTTATGAAAGTGTTTACTTATCTTTAATCTTTTCTTCTCTGTTCTTCAGATTGTATGATTTTTATTAGTTTTTCTTCAAGTTCCCTAATTGTTTTGTCATCTCAGATTCTGCTGTCCAATGCTTATAGTGAATTTCTCTTTTAGTTATTGTACTTTTCAACTCCAGAATTTCCATTCGGTTCTTCTCTCTTTTTAATTATGTCTGAATCCTCCTTGAAAATTGTCATTTGTACATTCATTTTTTTTCATACTTTCCTTGAATTCTTCAAACGTCATTTCATTTCCTTGAACATACATTGAAGACTCTGTCTGCCACATTAACTTCTAAAGGTACTCACACCATTTTTGTTAGTTTCCATTTTGTCTCTTTTATAGGTCACACTTTACTTTTTCTTCATCTATATTTTTCTGGATATTGGATATTTCGGATAATCCAAAATCATATCAACTCTGGGTTTTGATTTCTCCACTGACAGTGGTTGTCATTATTTTTTGTTTGTTTGCTTCTTTGTTTAGTAACTAACTTACACAAAATGGATGAAACCTGTTACTCCTCTGCTATGCAGTCCCTGATGTCTGCCTTCAAGCTGTTTGTTGGCATGTCTGTATTTGTGAGCCTGGTTTTCTGGGGATTACCCGTATGTCTATATTTGTTAGGGTACAAACAGCTCTTGGACAGAGGTGTTTGGTTACCTGGAGCCAGAAAGGTTGTGTTCAACATTTGGGCCTGGCTGTGAATAAGGGGACCCATTTAAAGATTGGGTAGTTGTCAAGTCTACTGGGCTCTTTAAAACTTTGTATCCATGTGTACAAAGCCTCAGGGTGGTCAGGTGAGTATCCTGACTTGGGCTCTCTCCAGTCTCAGCCATGAATGTGATTAGTCCATCCACAGCTATTACTTTTGGCTAGTAGAGCCACTGGACCCTCTACTCCTCCACCCTAGAGATCCTCACTTCTACTGAGCATGCTGCTGGGCGTGTGCATTGTGCACCACTCCATATTGAAACTTCCAAGCATCAGCAGGGAAGCTGCTGGTCCTCACAGCCTTACTACCCTGGCAACACAGGATGGAGTTGAAAGGACAGGAGCAGCCCCAGGCTCAAATGCCATAGATTCTCACTATTCTTTCTCAACGTTCAACAGTTGTTAAGGCATAAATGCTTTCCAGATTGTTGTATGCCTTAGAGCAACTTCTAAAAATGCTGAAATGGTTGTTTGTCAATTTTTTTGCAGCTTGGTAATTGCTTTTTTTTTTTTCTTTCAATTTTTTTTTCCTTTTTAGTTGTAGATAGGCATAGTACCTTTGTTTTATTTATTTATTTTTATGCAGTGCTGAGGATCAAACCCAGTGCCTTACATGTGTTAGGCAAGCACTCTACCACTGAGCCACAGCCCCCAACCCCAGCAGTTGCTTTTTATAGGGAGGTTTTTCCAGTCTCCTCACTCAGTCTGAAGTCCTGCCGCTTCTCCTCTGCTCTCTTTATCAGCATCTCTTTTCTCAAGATTAAATACTCATGTACCTCTCTGAACACTGGCTTCTTTGAATCGTTTACCAGCCCTTCTTGCAGTACTAAAAAGTGAGCAGAGCCCAAGGTTTGCCTTCTGCAGTCTGTCTTCACACTCTCAGTGACATCATACTTCCACATGCCTTAGTCTAGTCCTCTGTCCCCAATCTCTAGTTACTAATGGCCGAGTGCTGTGTGCTTGTACAATTCCACATGAAGGTCCTGTCAAAAACTTTAAATAGGGCAAAGAGGAGGTGAGGAGGGGGCAAAGAGGTAGGAAAGATAGTGGAATGAGTCAGACATCATTCATTACCCTAGATACATGGATGATTGCACGAATGGTGTGACTCTGCTTCACATACACCCAGAGGAGTGAAAAATTCTGCCCCATTTGTGTACAATGAATTGAAGAGCTTTCTACTGTCATGTATAACTTATTAGAACTAATAAGTAAATAAATAAAGTCAACATGTTCTATAGTTAGCTCCCAAGCATGTCTTTCCATCTGACTTTTTAATGCCTTGCACAAAATAGATAATAATTCTGACAGGTGATTAGATTTGACAACACAACTGTTCTCTTATTCACCAGAGCTTGACAATTTGGCCTCAGCTGTGACCTGTCATTTTTCCTCCTTCTATGTGTGTTCATTTGCCTCTGAGATAGTACGTTCAAGGTGCTTCGCATAGTGCTTGTTGCATAGTAATTACTCAGTTAAGGATGGTAGTTACTGTTGTTTGATCACACTTTAAATTCTACCTTTGCAGTGTCTGTCTTCACTAAATATGAAGAAATGGCATGACAATGGAAAGAGTAGTAGACTGGCAGTAAGCCTCGTTTATAGTTTAGTCTGCTGCTTTTAACTGTTTGACCTTAGAACACTCTCCTAATTTCTCTGAGCTACAGTTTCTTCATGTAAAAATTTTGGCACCATTCATATTTTCCTAGAGATAAAGGTATGGATATATAGATCTGTTAGGGGAAATCAAATGAGATCATTAAACTTGTAAAATTAATATCTTACAAGGAAGCTATTACTCCACCAGGTTTCATGCCAATTTCGGGCCCTGATTAACTTTCTTCCTTGTCTACAACATCAACTTCCAAGCTGGTTTCCCCACATCCCTGTAAAGCCATTCTGAAGAAGGGTAATCAGATCTAATGATAATCCCTCCCATGTGCAAAAATCTGCATTAGATGAAGCTCATCTAAACTCTAGAATTTCTGATAGTATTAGCTCATATTGCCTTTTCTTCCTCATACCCTATTTTCTCATGCTTATTTTCCACAAAATCCCAACTGCTCTCCTTTACTGAAGGAAGATGTTTCATGTACCGCTGCCTTGCATTTTCTCCCTAGACTAGTCTTCCTCACTTGCCTCCCCACCAAAGCCTGCACTAAATGCTCCCTTCCCTGTGAGGCTTTGAAGTTACTTGTTTGCTTTGAATGCAAACACCAGGGCCTAATACAGCTTTCTTATCCTGCAGTGCCTTGACCATGTAGTAGTTCAGTTTTTTAATGGGGGTTTCTTCTTTGTGGAATGTTTTCCTTCTCTTGTTAACAACCTATTGCAAGCAAGTGAAATAGACTTAATTTTGCCCTAAGAAATGGAGTTTAGTTTCTAATGATGAAGAATGCCTTGACCTAATGAAAAATTAAAATGTTCCAACAGATAGCAAGATGCCAGATCTTGTCATTCTCCTAGAGGTTTTTTTTTTTTTTTCTTCAAAGGAAATGCCATTTATGATAGCCTCATTATGAAATTTATGAAATAGTTTCTGCTAAGTCCAAAGACATTTAATGTACTCGTGGTTAGTGAATCTCATTATACAGGTGCATCTTTTGAAAAATCTCTGTAGAATGATTTAATAATGTGACTTCACAAACCCTAGTAGTGACTAATTGAAATGGTTGCCAGCTATCTGGAATTTTCTGGCTTAAAATTCTGCTTGACTGGGTGCTGGGGATATAGCTCAGTCAATTGAGTGCTTGCCTCACACGCATAAGGCCTCGGGTTCAATCCCCAGCATCAAAAAAAAAATTCTGCATGATTTTTTATTGTCCCTTTCTGTTCTTACACTAGATTAGTGGGCCTTAGACTTTATATGCAGTGTTTTAAAATGCATTTTCTCTAGCTTCTTCCCTCTAAAATTTTGATTTCATAGATGGGGGTTTGTGTGTCTGCATTTTTAAAAGCAACCCAGGAGACTACTTTGGATGTGGTTCATTGGTAGAACACTTGCCCAGCAAGTACAAGGCCCTGGGTTTGATTCTCAGCACCACACACAAATAAAATAAAATAAAATAAAATAAAACCTAAATATATTTAATATAGTTGATGGAAGTTATTATAGTGAGTTTTTAGATTGCCTAACCTAATTTTTAAATGTTTCTTTAAAAACAGAAACAGAAGATCTGTGGGAGCTTAACTTTGCAGCATCACATGCTGGAACCTGTTCAGCGGATTCCTCGGTATGAGATGCTCCTTAAGGACTACCTAAGGAAATTGCCCCCCGATTCCCCGGACTGGAATGATGCAAAAAGTAAATGCTTTAAATTTTTTTTTTTCTTCTCCATTATCAGATAATCAAGTGGCCATGCAGCCTGTTTCAAAGTGAGATGCATCTCACAGCTAGCTACTGTAGCCAAATATTGCTGTCAGAAAACAGTCTCACTGGAAATTATCAATGCCTCCATTAGGCAAGGCAGTTTTGAGCCCAAATCACAAGTTTAAAGCAATGCAAATCACACTTACCACTCTGGATTCACTTTAATCACTAACTGTGAAATATAAAACTATAGTCTTAGAGACATCCGGAATAGCAATACACAATTACCATCTCACAGGAAGAACACAGCCATTTGAAATTACAAGTGCTGCTGTTTAATTAGATAGGTCAATGCATACCAAGAATACCAAGATGGCATTTAATATGTAAAAATAACCTAAGCACTGTTGGCCTCACCTACCCTAGATACAATGGGAAATGGTGTTTTTATTGTCTATTAACTTTTTCCTCAAGAAAACTTTATTCCAGTTCTTTTAGTTGTTTTTGATTCTTTCATTAGATTAAAATGAAAGGTTTTTGTTTTGTTTTTAAGATTCATAAATTCTGCTAATACTTCAGGTTTCTTGTACAGTTTCTGTGTATGTGATTTTGTACCTCTGTGCAGGGGATTGACCTTGAGGCCTTTCGAATCACATGCTGAGCACATGCTGTATCACTGAGGCACATCCCTAGCCCTCTGGCACAGTTTTAAAAATCATTCAACTGTTAAGAGATGAAAATTTAAGGAATCAAAATGGCTTGATATTTAGTAAGCACTGACGATACTCATGTACAGTCTTAACTGCCACAATTTCCTCTTCTAATTTCTTGCCCTCTATTATAAGGGGACCACGGTATGAAAAAAGAGGAACATAAAACATCTTTGACCTGGAGCCTGAGTCTTTTCTTGAACATAAACTGCCTCTTATATGTTCCTCATACCATCCAAGTGACCTGTGAAACTTCTCTTTCCATTTACCCTTTTTGTAGTTTAGCTTGATTTTGGCTCACCATCTTCTCCCAGCCCAGTACTCCCCAGGAACTGTGCCTCACCCCCATTTTTTGTCCATCTGGCTCAAGTGCTGGGTTCCAGTGGCAGAGCCAGTGGTGGATTGGAGGTGGAATCACTTGCTCTTCCTGGAACTCATATCTTGAGCAGTGGCCCCACTCCATCTTACTTTGGCTCCCTCTAACCTGGTTCCTATCTCAGGTGCACAGAATTGCCCAAATCTGTAAAGAACTCTCAAACATGTAAATAAAACGCAGTGTCTTCTATATTCAAAGATGGTCTTTGCCTAAGATACCCATGTCAAAAGCAAGAAAGTTGTGGGACATAGTAGGGCATTTCATTACTTGTTTTGGCTTTGCATTAATAGTTACAATTAAATTCTAAGGAAATCACAGAAGAAGGACTTTTAGACCTAAAAGTAGAAAGGGAATTAACAAAAGTGCATTCTGTTCAGCAGAGCAAAGAAGACGGAAAATGTAGTCCAGAAGGGAGGGGGTTGCTGCGGTAACAGAATAGAGCAGGCCAGCATTCACAAGATAGAAAAGAAGGGAAGAGAACAGAACATGACTTAGGATTGAAAAGTCTGGGGTTGATCCAGCAGCCCTCAGCATTCACAGGTCTTCATTCTCAGCCCCAGAGCTCCTACGATGTCCCATATCAGAGAGTTCTCACTAACACCCACCCCAGAAACAATACTGACTCTAGAAGACTCCCTTTCATCAGACCTAGACTAGAATTCTGAGTGCATTTTCACAGAGAAAGTTTTATTGTGCTTAGTGGTTCATTTGCTTATGAAACTAGTAAAATACTTTCTGTCGAAATGTAGAACTTTGAGTCAGAAGACCCAGTTTCAGATCTGGCCTTCAACCTCAGAGTTGTGTGACCTTAGCCAAGTCACAACTCTTCCTCATTTCTTTTATCTGCCAAATGGGGCAAATATATTTACTGTTCAAGGCTGTTTTAATAACATAAGAATTGATTACAGTAGTCCTCTCTTACCTGCAGGGGATACCTTCCAAGATGTTCCACAGAGGCCTAAAACCACAGTCTTAAACATAGGGTTCAGTACTGGGTTTTTCCCCCTTTTACCTACATACCTATGTTTAAATTTAGCTTATAAATTAGGTACAGTAAAGAGATTAAAAAATAATAATATATAGCAATTATAATAGTACACTGTAACAAAACTTATTTAAAACTTATTGTTTGATTTCTGGAATTTTCCATGTAATATTTTCAGACTGTAGCAAAAAATAGAAGGACTACCTGTGTATGAAAGCACCTGACAAAGTACTTTGAATCTAGTTAGTGTACGCTGTAAATGCTTATTGACTTTTCATGGTCTATATGAATTCAATATACCTGTGAGCCTCATCATCGTACATGACTTTATACAAGGAAGTACCCTTTGAGTTCAGTTAGTCTGCTTACAAATTAGGTTTTGAAGGTATACAGTTTGTAAGTGGAAATTGCTGCTACTTTCATTGTGTTTTTGGTCTCAGATTTCTTATTTAAGTATGTAAATTATTCAATTATATAGTAGCCCAGGAAGGACAAAACATATTTATTTACTTTTCTTTTTTTCCCATTTAGAATCACTTGAAATTATATCTACAGCAGCAAGCCATTCTAATAGTGCAATAAGAAAAATGGTAAGTGGTTTTTAGAGGAGACAGGAACTTTATGGTTAGATAATTATCATAACATAGTCTAATACTATCTGTAGGTTTGGACCAAAGTGAACAGATAGAGGTAAACAAGAAAAAACATTTGCAAAATGTCTCATGTTTCCTGGAGTGACCCTCTCCCCTATTCTCTCAGGTTTCAATTTACGGATACATTTTTATACAAAAAAAAATACATTCACTCCCAATCCCTTCTAAATGATACAGATTTTAGTTAAGGTCATGGTATTATTATTCATTTCACTTAATTGACACCTCCTGTATTTGATCTTGCTGTATTTTGTTTTAATTTCCCAGGAGAACCTAAAGAAACTCTTGGAGATTTATGAAATGTTGGGAGAAGAAGAAGACATTGTAAACCCTTCCAATGAACTAATAAAAGAAGGACAGATCCTCAAGCTAGCTGCACGGAACACGTCAGCACAAGAGCGCTATCTTTTCTTAGTGAGTATTCTAGTGTTGGCAAGATACATAAGAAAAATTTACCAAAAAGGAATAATTTACAAAAAGAAAAATTGTTGTTTACATCTTGGAAAAGTACAATGCTTATTTGCTTGCTCCCCAAAATAATTACATCTGAGGCTGGGGATATAGCTCAGTTGGTGTAGTGCTTGCCTTGCATGTACAAGGCCCTGGGTTCAATCCCCAGCACCACAAAGAAATAAAATAAAAAATATTTTTAGGGCTGGGGTTGTGGCTCAGTGATAGAGTGTTCGCCTAGCACATGCAGGGCCCTGGGTTTGATCCTCAGCACCACATAAAAATAAAATGTTTTTAAAATATGTGTATATATATATATAATTTTTTTAATTACATCTGCTTTGATTTAGTAAACACTGTTAGGAGTTTGAAGGACGGAATAGTCTAAGTAACTAAAATTTAACTATTTTTGGTGTACTTTATGGGTATAATTTACTTCAGTAGGGCATATTGAAGACAATTTAGCCTTGAATTCCATGATAATGCTAATAGTGCATATGCAGGGTATGGTATACTTTCTGAAATCCTCCTTGTCTACTTGTTTTCTTTCATTTTCAACATAATAGGCACCATTTCCTGAGTATTTTGTTGCCATACCATTTCCTAACAGCAATTCTCCTAATCATCTGTAATCACTTTTTTAATCATTCTAGAGTTAAAAAAAAAAAAAAATCTGTATGGGCAAGATTGTAAGGCTGTGTCTAAAGTATTTATAGGGAAAATGTGATTGCTACACAGTTCCTTTTCACCATTGCCAGTCCTTGTCTCTTCTCTTCAATTAGTCTGGGGTTTATCTCAAATGTAGTAGTCTTTCTGGGGCATCCAGGCCATTATTATTATTATTTTAAGTTTCTGTCCAGGTGACCTGTATTTCTTTGTTACCTTAGTGAATTCTGATTCTTTTCTGTATCTAATAAAATAAGGATCATAATGGCTAGCATGACAAAGAGCAAGCACACATTGAATAGTGGCTCAGTCAACTAGCTTTATTATGATTGTTATTAAAGGCAAAGAACAAAGACTCATTGGTGAAGAGGCTGCCTAGGCAGACTTTTCTGCTGCCAGGCATTCATTTCACAGAGTTGTTCTTAAGGCCTGAGAAGTTTCTATCTACTGCTTCCAGCCTTCTTTGAAAAGAAACCTTATGCAAGCTGTCATGAAGAGGAATGTTCAGTATCTCTCAGTCATTTCTTTTTTAAAGAATATTTGCCTACCATGTGACCCAGTTGTTCCACTCCAAGTCTGTTCAACTCAAGAAAATTGAAAACACATGTCCACACAAAAACTTATGTATCAACATCCATATGGCATTATTCATCTTAGCCCAAAAATATGAGTAACCCAAATGTTTATCAGTGATGGATGGTTAAAGTGTGGTTTATCTATACAATGGCCTATCCTATTTTATGTCAATAAAAAGAATTTATGTCAATAAAAAGGATTGTAGTACTGATAATATATGACATGGATGCATCTTGAAAACTGTCAAATGAAAGAAGTCAGTCACAAAAGGCCACATACTCTGATTCCATTTATAGGAAATGTCTAGAATAGGCAAATGCACCGATTACATAATTAGTGGTTGCCTAAGGCTGGTGGGAAGGAGAAATGGGCATAAGGTTTCATTTTAGAGTTCCAGAACTAGTAGCGTCGGTTTACTACTATACTAAAAACAATTTTTTAAAAAAAAAGATAAATTTGTATTGTATATTAATTTTATTTGTTTTTAAAATGTATGAATATTATCTAACTATAAAGTCCTTATTTGAGCTAAAGAGAAGGTACACCACCTTTCCCAGGTGATACAGAGAACTAAATAGACCTAAATATTATTATTCAAGAATGGTAGAGAGATGAAAAGACAGATCCCAACAGGAGGGCTATTCCTACCATGGGGAGGGGACAGCAGTGAAGAGGCAGAGGGCACAAGCAGAAGGGGTGGTAGGCAGGAGCCTTTGTGGCTTCCACAGGAGATAATGGGCAAGGCAGTAAAAGGCTTGGGATGGGCAAATTTGAACTGCAGTGAGCTCCTGTCTGCCTGACTTTGGCGGTGATTCTGGCAGCGGAATCAGCAGCCCGGCTTGATGAAGGGGGGTGTTTGAGGGTGTTTACTTCCGTACAGAAGGGGTGCTCACAGGTGATTCTTAGACTATCTCTAGGAACTGGGTCACCTGGGAGGGTCAGTCCCTTCAGTATGAGCAAGGCATGAAGATGTCCAGGCATCAACAACATAGAATTAAAAAGTCAGCTTAATATACTTTTCTGAGTAAAATCCTCCAGGAATCAATGTCTGCTCTGTCTTTACATTATAGGTCCTTTTTCTTCTTCCTCATTAGTGTTACAGTCTCTATAGGTAAACTTTTTAGTTCTGTGTCTAACCAATTGTCTTGGTTTAATTTTCACATTTCAAAATTATTCTGGAAATAGTTTGAGGTCGAGAATCTTGATGCAAAGCCAAATTAAGCTGCTGTTTGGAAGAGAGATGGCAGGAGCCTTGGGCATGGGGGATGGGGGGAATATGGCAGTTAGCAACTGAGGAAAAGACCCATCTTGATCCAGTTCCCATCGGCTGTCAAATATACCACACCATTACCTCCCAGGAGGGTGGAGTGGCATAGCAGGAATTTTAGGAAACCATGTGTTTTGAAGACCATTCTAGAATCACATACTGTGTAGGTTCATTCATTGAATCCACTCTCTGAGACTGTGCTTGTCGTGTTTATTCCTAGGGAACATCTTGTTCTTCTATAAGTGGAAACTTCAAAAGTAGCATTTTCCTTTTCTTTTCTCTCTAGTGAGAAAATGAAGGCAAGCTTTTGATTCCCTACTACAGGATATTAAATTTGGCTTAAAAGTCAAACTATGTTTAGAATCTGATTCCATATCCAAATGCTCCTTACTCGTTCCTATTTGCTTGCTTCCACACTACATTTTCACTTCTTTATGTTGATGTAGGTTACTCTGTTAACTAGATCACTACTGATATGTGGAAGCTAATCCTCAACAAGGGGGCTGGGGAAGAACAGATACTCAGTAGATTAGGAAAAAAGTGCATGAAGGGAAGCGGGGAGGGGGATAAGAAAAGGAAAGACAGTGCAAGGAATCAGAAATAATTTTTCTGTGTACTTACATGATACACCATAGTGAATTGAACCATCATGTATATCCACAAAAATGGGGTCCTAAGTAGAATAAGATATATTCCATGCTTGTACAATTATATAAAAATGAATTCTTCTGTCATGTATAACTAAAAAGAACCAATAAAAAAAAAGTATACAACACACAATCAAATCAACTTATCTGGGATCTGAAGGTTTTAAAATAAAAATCACTAAATTATTCCACAAAATGACCCAAGAGTTTTTATTCTTGGCCTTTTGTAGTTGTTCTATTCCTTGTTAGAGCTTGCTAGGTAATTTTTTTTTTCCTTATTTAAACTTTAAATATACAGATCAGTCACTGTAAATTTCCTCCAACACTCTTCTATTACCTTCTAAAACAAACTTCAATGAAATTGGATTATTTCAGTGAACATATTGTAAGAGGTTAGAAACACTTGCACACTAGAGATCAAGCTGCAGAGATCACCCCACCCATTTTTGGCACTGGAGATTAAACTCGGGGGCACTCAACTACTGAGCCACATCCCCAGCGCTATTTTGTGTTTAATTTAGAGACAGGGTCTCACTGAGTTAATTAGCGCCTTGCTTTTGCTGAGGCTAGCTTTGAACTCACCATCCTCCTGCCTCAGCCACCTGAGCCACTGGGATTATAGGCGTGAGCCACCACGCCCACTCCGCCCCCAACCCCGCGCCCCTTTTTTTTAAAAGATAAGATTGAGAACTTGCTTCTAGGTCTTGTCACAACCTAGGACTTCTACAGATGGCCTCATCACTCAGTGCTTTGCTGATTACCACTTCTGAACTATGGATAGGAAGAAAGAAGAAAGTGAATCTCCTACAGTGAAAGAAAAAGTCATTGTTGGTGCTATGGCTGCTGCAACTTCTTCTTTCAGTATGAGGGGAAACCCAGAGACAAGAGATTCTCTTAGTAGTGGTGACAGGGCTTTTGCCACAGGAGCAAGGTTCAGAGAGGGAGTAGGACCAGCTACCTTGTTTTTCACAGATATGGCACCTAATCTTTGTGAGGCAATATTTTATATCCTATAAAAGCTCCCACTTTCATCTCTGTGAATACAGAAGGTATTTATTAACCAGCATTAGATTGTGATCAGAGTTCTTTAAGGATAATATGTAGTTATTTACAATTTATACTGTGAAGTCCTACCAAGGAAGAGTTTCAGGAAGGTAGTCCTGAAAGCATGAAAAGGAAAGAGAAACATATTTACATCTGTCTGTCATCTTACGAGAATAACTACCAAAGGCAAATGCTAAGATCCTCCATATTCATGTATTTATACGTCTATAAACCAACAAGACTATAAAGCGAACCTGAACACAAGTATCAGGTAACTTGACTCTTTTATGCTATAATACTACATTTGTCACTCCATTTTCAGAAACAATTTGGTTAAGTGTGAGCTGTCCTTGTGGTGGTGGCTCTGCAGCCCCTCCAACATATAGTCTTAACCAAATCTCCTCCTTAGGGGGTTGGAAGGGAAAGGGAAAGAAATGTCAACTCAAAAAGTTAGCAAACAGGCCAGATGTGGTTGTGCATGCCTGCAGTCCCATGAATTTGGGAGGCTGAGGCAGGAGGACTGCAAATTCCAGGCCAGCCTCAGCAATTTAGAGAGGCCCCGTCTCAAAAAGGGCTGGGGATATAGCTCAGTGGTAGAGCACCCTGGATTCAATCCTCAATGCCACCCCTTCCCCAGAAAATTAGTAAGGTATGGGCTTAGTCAAGCTACAATACAGAATTGGCAATGAGAACATTGGGAGATTTTTCAAATCTCCAAATTCTATCTACTACAATGAGGCTATCAGGGCCACACTCAGAACTTAGTGAGCTGTTAATGATAAAGGCTTAGGTCCTCTACTAGAAATATAAATAGATGATACTGGGATATATGTCAAATGCATTTAGTGCTCTTTTAATACTATGTTCCCCTGTGTGGAACTGAAATTTATGATGACGGTGGTTATAGGAAGTTACAAAATGATGAACGAAAAACAACTGGTGAGAAATATACTTTCAGAATGAGCACAATGGACTGTGTCGCATAAACATGTTGATGATTTAAATATCCATTGATGTGTCTCCTCTTAGAACATAGTATGGAGCCAAGCAGAGGGCTTGGGAGGAAAGCTCAAGAATCAAATCCTATGACAACTTGTTTAATTTCAGTAACTTGTATGTGCAAAGTACCGTGCTAAATACTTACCATTTGGTTTCCTCATTTAATCTTTTTAGCAACCAGTGACTTGCAGATGACGACCCCGAAGCATGAGGGTTCACACACCTCCTAAGCAGTAAAGTCAGGGCTTATAGTAAAATTTTAGAGAAAATTTGAAAAAGAACAAATTAAGAAATTTTGATGAAGCATGTGAAAAAAAAAAAAAGTTAGAATTTAGGGCAAATGCTGTTGGAAAAGCGAAAGATCATTTTTAGTTCCTAGTAACTCTTGCCTAAGAAAAATATATGTAACCCTTGAAACAATTTAAATAACAAATATGAAGTAAGAAGTATGGACCTGTTCTTAGAAATCTGCCCACAAATTAACCCAAATATTTATAGAGTTTTATTTCTCTGTATGTTTTAACATATTCAAAAGTGAAATAGCTGGGCATGATGGCACATGCCCAGCAACTGGGGAGGCTGAGGCAGGAGAATCACAAATTCAAGGCCAGCCTGAACAACTTAGTGAGAACCCGTCTCAAAATAAAAAAGGCTTGAAATTTAGCTCAGTGGTAAAGCACCCCTGGGTTCAATCCTCTGTATCCCTCTCACCAAAAAAGTGAAATAAATGCTTTCACAAAGTCATTAAAAAATCAGATTCTGTTATGTCAGTCTTATATTGTTCATGGTCCTAGCAAGGACTGTTAATTGTTGACCAGAAATGAGGCAATGTACATAATAATTTTGATTCAGTTTCAAAATAAAAACCTTTCTTTTCTTTTTTTCTTTTAAGTACACCTTATCAAGACAAGAATAAGGTCATACCTTTAAAAACCTCTTGATACTAACTGATGGGTTTTCTGTAAATTTACGTGATAAATTTTGAAGATTCAAGGATTCATAGGTCTGTGCTGGTGATCAGGATTTTTTTTCTCTCTTTTTTTAAAATTTTTTCTGATACTGGGGATTGAACCCAGGGGCATTTTGCCACTAAGCTATATTCCCCCAGTCCTTTTTAGTTTTTATTTTGAGACAGGGTCTTGCTAACTTGCAAGGTTGGCCTCAAAATTGCAATTCTCCTGCCTCAGCCTCCTAAGTAGCAGGGGTTACAGGTGTGTACCTCTTCTCCCAGCTCTTTTCTTTCTTTCTTTCTCTCTTTCTTTTCTTTTCTTTCTTTCTTTTTTTTTTTATAGTACCAGGGACTGAACCCAGGGGTACTCAACCATTTATCCTCCTGCCTCAGCCTCCTGAGTAACTGGGATTACAGTGTGTACTATTGCACCTGGCCAGGAATTTAACTTCCAAAGTTGAGAACTTCAAAAAATAAAATAAAGTAAAAAAAAAAAGAATTTCAGTTAAGGATTGGGGATATAGCTCAGTGATAGAGTGCTTCTCTGGCATGAGACCCTGGAGATCCTCAATACCATTTACAAAAAAAAAAAAAGCCAGGCACAGTGGTGCACATTTATAATCTCTGCAATTTGGGAGGCTGAGGCAGGAGGATTGCAATTTCAAAGCCAGCCTCAGCAACTTAGTGAGGCCTGTCTCAAAATAAATAAATAAGGATTGGGGACATGTCCCAGTGGTTAAGCATCCATTGCTTCAATCCCTGGTACCAAAAATAAATAAATGGTAACAAAAAAAAAAAAAAAACATAACAACTTCAATTCCTAGTATATCAAAGGTCCTGAATAAATTTTTATCAAACTTATTGAACTAATTTTCTTAAAGCAGTGGTATAAAAAGGTGATTGATTTACTTACATATTAGTAAAATATTTGAATCATGAAAGGAAACTATTTCAAAAATTGTATGATTTTTTTTAAAAAATGTAAGCATAAAAATCTTAATGTAGGGGTAAATTTTCCTCAAGTAGGAAGTACCATATTCCCTGGAATTCCAAGGAATTTCTGTCCAGGTCTACTTTTAATATTGGTCAGTTTTCCTTATTTTCTCTATTTATTGTGTATTGATATACATTCTGTTTCTTGCAGTTCAACAACATGTTACTGTACTGCGTGCCCAGATTCAGCTTGGTAGGCTCAAAATTCACAGTTCGGACTAGGGTTGGCATCGATGGAATGAAAATTGTAGAGACTCATAATGAAGAATATCCATACACATTCCAGGTGTCTGGAAAAGAGAGAACACTGGAACTACAGGCCAGGTAAGAGAATCATTGCTGTCCCAATGCTTATCCCAAACATCAGAGTAAATTATAGCTCAAGAGTAGTGCTGAGGGGTTTTTCCCAAGTGAATGCTACAGACCCCTGGGAATCTGACTGGATGTAAATAGAGACCTGGGAGCTCTTGAAGGACAGACATCATGACTTCCTCTCCCCATGGTGCCTAGGTCAGTAAGCATTCACTCAGTTGATTATCTCTTCAGAATAACAAGGTATTAGGAAGATGAGTTTGCTACATGTTGTCAGAGTCTTGACACTTGGAAGAAATTGCTCTCCCCTAATCAGCCTTCTATTCCTCCTCTTGCTTCTCAAATATTTGTTTGATGACTATTCCATACTAAACTGCTGAGTCCTTTAGGGGCTCTGTATTCTTGGAACCTAGGAGCACTTTGATGGAAAGAAATGTTTGACAGGGTAATCAAAGTAATGATCCCTGCCACAGTCAGTTGTAAGATACATGAAAGGAGTCCTTTGGCAATCAGAACTTCGAGAATATGGCTCTAATTATGCACCTTATTGAGTAGGAGAGAAAAGGTTGGAGTTCTGAACTAACTTTTCCTAGGAAGAACTAGGAAAACCACAGCAGATCATAGCTGACTATCTTATGAATGAACCTCTGAAAGACAAGGTGCTGTCAGGATGTGAAATAAATCTGCTTTAGAAGACAGTTTTCCATTTAGTCTACAAAGGCCTAGCAAGGTGAAAATGTGGACACTCCATAAGATCACAGATCTGAGTGTAAAGTACCAATCCCAGTTCTAACTGTGTTGGTGCCCGATAATCCATGTAGAGTCAGAGAGCCCTTCTGTTCCTCTGTACACAGCATGTGGTTCCGGTTGCCTAGGTGAATTCACCCTGGTTTACATATAGTCACTGTCTAGGAGTTTAATATTCAAGCTTTCAACAAAAAATATTTATTTATTTATTTATTTTGGTACTGGGGATTTAACTCAGGGGCACTCGACCACTGAACCACAATCCCAGCCCTGTTTTGTAGTTTATTTAGAGACAGGGTCTCACTGAGTTGCTTAAAGCCTCACTTTTGTTGAAGCTGGCTTTGAACTCGTGAATTGGTGAGATTACCACTGTGGAAGGTGTAGCAAACTGGGAAAGTTTGAAGGAACAGCCAATTCTTTGATTTCCCACAAAGAATTTGTATTGAAAACCCCATTATTAGGGGAGCAATCGGGGGATACTGTGAAGATTAACAGGTAGCATTTCAAGTGAATTTAAAAGGTAGAGGGCTTGGCTTTTGAGGGTCATGGTTATCCTGCCTCATGGTAGGATTTGGGCCTCAGCCACTCAAACTCATGGGAAAATGTATGATGCTATGTTGTAGGCTTTTGATGTGAGGCCTCACTCAGTGTCTGAGTTATTGGCCCTGGCAATAGGGAGCACTAGTCAATTCTATGATCATCATAGAAGTCTTAATTGCAGAAGAATTAAGGTGATGCATATTTTAAAAAATAGAAAATAAAAAAGACTGCAAAAAAAAAAAATTGCAGCATACTTCCAAATCTACAAACCCAAGAGGTGTTACATCAGAGGAGAGAATGCAAAGATTTTCTAAGGTTTCTGGATGCCTACAAGGAGACATTAGCTCTCCATTAGCAAGTTGGGCTATTTGCTTTTTAGGATGGGAGAAATTTTCTTAAGCACAGTCAATCATCACTTTATAATATTCCAATTAGTATCAAAAACATGGTTATTCTTCATTAAGAATTTCTTATTCTCCTAGTTATATTTGTGATAATGTGGTAATATAAAAAATCTGGATTAAATGGTTACTTTTCATCTGATCTATAATGGCTCTCAAGAATAGAGACAAACATTAGGGTTCAAAAGAGAATCAGAGGGATTTATGTACAATTAAAAATTGCATGTAAATGTGTAGAGCTACGGATGTGGCTCAGTATCCGTAGCTCTACACATTTACATGAGGCTGAGGGTTAAATTCCCAGCACCACACACACACAAAAAAAAAAGAAAGAAAGAAAGAAAAAGTTTTAAAAATTGGGTGTGTAAGCCAGGCATGGTGGCACACGCCTGTAATACTAGCAACTCTTGGGAGGCTGAGGCAGGAGGATTGCAAATTTGAGACTGGTCTAGGCAACTTCTCAAGACTCTGTCTCAAGATAAAAGCTGAAAAAGACTGGGAATATGGTTCAGTGATAGAGTGGTCCTGGATTCAATCCCCTATACTACAAAAATAAAAATCAAAAAATTAGGTATATATTTGAAAACATTTAAAGAGAATTTGTTTCTGAAGCCAGCTGGGAAAAAAAAGAGTTCCCCTTTTCTTGCTTAGGTATGAGTCAACTGCAGGACTGACCCCTTGCATTTATGCTTCCTCTTCCACATTTAAAAAGATAAAAAGTATTCTGGGGTTTTGTGGCGGTGGGGGTTCTGTTTTGTTTGAGGCAGGGCCCAGGGATCCACTCCAAGGTTTTACACACTTTAGGCAAGTAATCTGCCACTTAGCTACACCCCCACCCCAAGTATTATGTTTTATCTAATTTTTGTGCAATACTTTTCTATTGGAAGTGAAATTTAAAATATTGTAATAAGTAAATTAATTGAAGGAGTAGAAAAACTTGGCCAAGAGTAAAAAAGTAAGAAAAAAAGACATTAAATTCTTATTAAGTGTCTTTGTCTGCATTTAGAAGACTAAAAGTAGCTAATAACTATGCTTCCAGAGTAGGAGAGCTGTGGTGACAGGGCAAAGCAATAGGTAGTTGCTTATATTTTTGCTTTTGAGAAACAGATTTAAGCCTCTAGGTGGGCGGCAATAAGCAGAATCTTCCATTTTACAGATTCTACCAACATTCCTGCACATTATGATACTCAGTAATAAATATTGGAGCCATGTATGGTGCATGGTGGTGCACACCTGTAATCTCAGTGACTCGGGAGACTGAGACAGGAGAATTGGGAGGTTTAAGGTCAACCTCAGCAATCTAGTGAGAATCCTCTCTCACAAAGAAATGGGAATATAGTTCAGTGGTGAAGTGATTGCCTCACATGTGCAAGGTCCTGGGCTCGATCCCCAATATCACATGTACAAAAAAAAAAAAAAAGATAATAAATAATGGATAGATGGATGGTGTCACAGGAATAAACCTCCAGTTATCTCAATCATATTGGATACCTGTTGGAATGAGGTAGGTGACATTAGGTTGGAACTCACACTTGGCTCTAGCCTACCAAATATGGTAAATGAACAGGCACTCTTTGATATTCTTCAAAATTTAAAGATCATTCAGAGTTCCCAAAAGGGTTTTTTCAAACTTAATGTGACAATAGTCAGTCAGCTACATAAGCTTCTTATAGGGGAGAGGAAGTAAAACTTGACTCAACGGGATGACAGGGACTTGACTACAGTGGAGGAAATTTTTTTCCATAAAGAGAATTATAAAGCCCTGGCGCCATTAATCTGTGAAACCTCCTTCCTGCAGGCATTGAAAATGCTGATCTGTTTTGGTTTATCTGTAATGAATTTTAGATGCAAGGATAATTGCAATCTTTTTACTGAGATGGGCCTTCATGTATTTTAGGAGATTGGAGGATTAGCTGCTTTGTCCAGTATGTTAGATGTATAGGGCCACTTGATAAACACCACTAGCTGAGGGTATTTCACTCAATGTCAGGGCAATATGGCATGGCAGCTTAACCTAACCGCCCCCAACAAAATATATGGTCACCAAAATTAATAGGTAGTCTGATACTATATCTCAGAAGAATTTATTTGCTCAGTTGCCAAACATTGTGTAATTATTGTAATGCCTTTCAGGACATTCTTGAATTTTCCAGGAAGTTAGAACAACATGAAAGCAGTTTTATTCACCAGGTGTAATTAGTTAATGTTCTCCACATTCACTTTAATTTTGTTTTGTTTTAGTTCTGAGCAAGACAAAGAAGAATGGATCAAGGTAAGCCTGATTTCTATTTTCATTTTTGTTTTATGGCAACCTAGGCATACATTAATTTGTGCACATCATTCTGTTATTTAAATATATAATCATCAGAACAAGTTTATTTAATTTTAAGATGATTCCTATTATGGATATTTGTTTGATAAAGTGTATTCATGATTGTCATGTGATACTTTAATGTGTGCTTTGAATTTCATTTATATTTTAGGCCCTTCAAGAGACCATTGATGCCTTTCATCAAAGGCATGAAACCTTCAGAAATGCGATTGCAAAGGATAATGACATTCACTCTGAGGTTTCTGTAAGTTGAATTAAGTTCTTAGTTTTAAACTCTTTTATCTCTTTAAAGTTGCAGAAGATCTATCTAATCATTTTGTGATCTGACCCTTTCCCTTCACAATGCCAAAATTGGCTATTCAGACGGAATCTCATTCATTCTTGATGGATACAGTAGTGAGTGACACTCTTTAAACTTCTTTGAATCTTTGATTTCTTTTCTTGGGTCTTGAGTTTCAGAACATGGTTTATACAATTGTTAAAATAGTTTTTTTTTTTTTAATAAAAAGGGAAATTACAATTTTTCTATTAATATTATATCTCTCTTTTTTTCTTACTTTTTTTTAAGACTGCTGAGCTAGGGAAAAGAGCCCCGAGATGGATCCGAGACAATGAAGTGACAATGTGTATGAAATGCAAGGAACCTTTCAATGCACTGACAAGGAGAAGGCACCATTGTCGAGCATGTGGACACGTAAGTGAGGTTTCTGGTTCATTAAGGTCACTAGTAATGGTGTAAGTGGTTAGATTATCATCTGGGAAAATATTTTTTAAAAAGATCGTTTAAAAAAATCACTTAATAAGCCTATTTTGGTGCCAATTTTGTGCAAAGCACTCAGTTTTGTGATGAACCCTGGAGGAAAAAAATGGGAAACAAAGCTGGGTGTGGTGGTGCCCACCTATAATTCCAGCAACTTGGAAGTCTGAGGCAGGAGGATCGTGAGTTCAAAACCAGCTTGAGCAACTCAGTGAGGCCCTAAGCAACTCAGTGAGACCCTGTCTCTAAAGAAAATACAAAATAGGAGCCAGGCACAGTGGCACATACCTGTAATCCCAATGGCTTGGGGAGGATAAGGCAGGAGGATTGCAAATTCAAAGCCAGCCTCAACAATAGTGAGGCGGTGAACAACTCAGTGAGACCCTGTCTTTAAATAAAATCCAAAATGGGCTGGGGAGGTGGCTCAGTGGTTGAGTGCCCCTGAGTTCAATTCCCAGCACCAAAGAAAAGAAAAGAAAATACAAAATAGGGCTGGTATATGGCTCAGTGGTTGAGTGCCCCGAGTTCAATCCCCAGTAGCAAAAAAAAAACCAAACTGGTAAACAAAATGATCCCAGCTTCACAGAGCTTACATTGTAATGGAGAAAGACAAGAGTTTCGAATTACTGTCAACAGAATTAGAAAATGGTCAAGAAGTTAAAAGAGAAGGTAGGAGTAATGGAAGATTTGGAACCAATTTTATTTAGAAAAAAGAAGACCTACCTGAAGGGTTGGTACTTAGCTGATACCTAAAGAGGGAGAAAGAGCTAATCCCAAGGAGGAGACAGGAGGAGTATTGCAGACGTTGAGTCTGAGCCAAAGACCTGCAGTAGGAAAGAGGTTGCTCTAGTCACAAGATTGCCAAAAGCCACGTGGCTGGAACATGATGAGTAAGGGGCAGTGTGGCGTGAGAGGTGGTAAGAGAGAATGCCCAGAGGACTTGGTGTCTTTGAGAAGACAAGAAGAAGTGGAACTCACCCTTCAGGTAAAAGTTCTGGCTTTTGATGGGCAGAGGGGAACATTATAACAGAAGGAAAGATGGGTACAAATGGGGACAGGTTGCTGTTGTTTATGGCTTTGTGGTGTGAAATGAGGGAGTTTAGGTTCAATGTTGTATTTTCACTGAAGAATGAGGTAGTTGTAAGTTGAGAGTGAAGGAGGAAGGAAGGGGGAGATGGGAAGATTCAAGAGAGAAGACTAAGTATAAAACGGTTTGCCTTGGGCAGAAAAAGGTAAGCCTGCCAGAGAAACACAGGCGGACTAGATGCTCATTAGTAGTCTGTGGTCATAAGATTAAAGGGATAGTCATCAGCTTAATGGCAATGATTTCTCTAACAAAATTCAGCTCAGGCCAGAGAAGGCAAATGGCAGAGTTTATCCAGAGTCAATATAGTGAGAAAAACAAGGAGAGAGAGGGGTGTCTTCATCAGATAGTTCATAATGAATAAGGAAAGTCTAAGCTAATAACAAAGAAGGTAGGAAAGCTCAGAGGGAGAGCAGAGGGCTGCTGAGAAAGTGGTGGGGTCAATAGACAGAAGGGGTTCTGTAATTTCAAAGCTGCATCTTAGTGGACCGCTGCCAGCAAGCAAGTCATGTTTGAACTTGTCGTGTCAAATGTGGTTCAGTCCCTGGTGGTGATACAGTCTCATGGGTAGCCATGAGACAGACCTCATAAGAATGGCACAGGCAATAGGGACCTAAGAAGTCAGTTCAGTGGGTTAGTCATGTGGATGTTGAAGTCACCAGGCATTGTGATACCCTGGTGAACTAAGATCCATTTTACTATAAAATCCTGAGTGAATGGTGGTGAGGCAGATGATGAGGAGACAATAGCTCAGTAGGGGAAAAGGCTAAAGCCAGGGGGTTTTGAGGGCAAGGAGAAAACCAAAGGCTACAAACCCCAGCTTTCAGCCCTGAGGTTTTCAGAGATGGCACAAGGGGAGGTGAGAGAAACTGGCAGCCTCTACTTGAGAATTCATGAGTGAAGGCCATGAAAAGGGGTGGAAAGAAGATGGGGGACTACATCATATACAAAGCAGTGTGTATGGGAAGAGTCTAGGAAAACAACTGGAGAGACCAGGCCTTCTGGAAACTGAGGTATGATGGAGTTAATTCTTCATGTCTCTGAGATGAGAGTGGTCAACCAGACCTATTGCCAGAGACCCAGATGTTTCCCTTGGTGGCATGGCATCCTAAGGGAGAGCAGCTTCCAGAGAATTAGTGGGGCAGCATGTTTGAACTGAGGATACAATTGATATATCGGGGCATATAGGCTGGCTTGATATTAAACACTGTAAGACAGGGACTGGTTGTTGCTAGCTGGGACTAGAAATGTAGGTAAAGATGAGGTCATTGAAAGTCAGACATGCCATGCTTTGATTTGACCAAGTTTGAAAGGGAGATGGTTCTAAGTTGGGCAAAATGAGTAATCAAGAGTGACTCCCCACATTAAGATTAGGTAAATAAATGGTAATGTCATTAAATGACATAAAAATATATAGAAAAGTGAAGCAAGTTTGTAGAGGAGAGTAGCAGTAATGATAAAAACAGTAGCTACCATTTATGGTGTACTGGTGCCAAGAATTGTTGGAACTATTGTGTATATGTTATTTCTTATAATTTCCTCAACTCCTCTATAAGGAAGATTCAAACGTTATACAATATGGTCTTTGTGTTACATGACCTTCCCATTCTACCCTCCAGGTCTCTATCTCCATGCCTCTCTTTGTAGCATATCTGTATTTTGTTAATTCTATTAGTTTGGACATTCTCCTTAGTTGTAGCTATCTGCTATTTTATTAATTTGTTTGCATTTATTTTTTTAAGAGAGAGAGAGAGAGAATTTTAATATTTATTTTTTAGTTTTCGGCGGACACAACATCTTTGTTTGTATGTGGTGCTGAGGATCGAACCCGGGCCGCACGCATGCCAGGCGAGCGCGCTACCGCTAGAGCCACATCCCCAGCCCTGCATTTATTTTTTATTTCTGGAAGTTTTTTTTGTTTGTTTGTTTGTTTTTTTCCTTCTAAATCTGCCTGTTCATTTCTATAGTTTTTGTGTTGTTTGCCACTTTATTTTTTTTCAAACCCTTCTCATATAACTTCAGGATTTCTGACTGGTAATGCCAATATCTGAAGAATTTTGAGTGGTCAAAGTCTGTTGGTGGTTGTTTCTACTAATTCTGGTTCATGATGGTTTATTTTCTGAAATACTTTGCTAGTCTGATTGTGAGCTCATGTTTGGTCGATATTTCATGATCCTCCTTTCATAAGTTTAGTATAAATGACTGAGTCTCGGTTTCACTTCCCCATTCCTTCAGGCCCTAGGACTTTTTCCAAATATAAACTTTGAGTTTGCACAGTTTATTAATCATTATACTTTCAGCTCACTGTTTTTCTTTTCTTTTGTTTATTCATTGGGTTTTAGTCTTTATACCTTGGAGAATTCTCTCTAAAGTCAAGTCAAGTTTTAAAGTTACATTTGTTGTGTCTAGAAGCCAGTTGTATGAGGGCAAAAGGATTCTTCATATGTATCTATTCTGCCATATTGATAAAAATCAAGAGTCAAAAATATGTTTAATCATGGCTACATATTTCATATTATGACTTTTTACACAGTCTTTCTATATATATATATCTCAATTATTACATAAACTTATAAAACTTACACATTTTCTGGCATGTTTTGTATTTTTTGGTTATTTATGAAAGTTTAAGTTAATTATCTAATAATATGTTTATGATATGAATTAATAATTACAATGTTATATAGAAAAGTAATGATGCTACTTATAAATAAAATTTGAACATAGTTTGATCAGCCATTGAGCTGAGTGTCATTGGAAAGAGTGAAGAGAAAGCGTGAAATGAAGCTACAAAGAGGTAGCAGCAATTTGGGGGATTGGGGGGGAACCAAGCTGAAGACTAGATCCTTTCTGTTAAGAAGAATGGGTAAACTTCATTGTAAGCATTGCAGCATCATGATTTATTTGTTGTGTGCTTACCTGCAACAATTTATGTTGATATTTCTTTTAGCTTATTCTCATTTTATTGCGGATTTATTCTTTCTCTTTTTCTAAGACTCAGTTTTTAGTTTTGTAATCAAAACTAAACAAATAACAAACATCTTAGAGTAAGACTTTTTAAATCTATCATTGAGTTTATCAAAAATCATTTCTGGCATTGACATGCTTGCCTTTGGTCAACAAACAATAATGTGTGCTGGTAGAATATCAAAATACTATATGAGGCTGGGGTTGTGGCTCAGCTGTAGAGTGCTCGCCTGGCATGCGCGAGCCCCTGCGTTCAATCCTCAACACCACATAAAAATAAACAAACAAAATAAAGGCATTGTGTACAACTAAAAAATAAATAAAAATTTAAAAAAATACTATATGATTTGAAAATAAATAAAACAGTTGATTTGAGTTAGCAGATACAGACAAGTCTAATTCTAAATCCCCCTAAAGTAATTTCATTATAAGAAAATGGCAGGATTTTTTTTTTAAAGGGGTGGGTATTGAACCCAGATCTTTGTCAATGCTAAGTACACACTCTGCCACTAAGCTATACCCAATCCCTGACCATTTTTATCATGAATTTTGAATGCTATGAACCTAGTTTAAAATTTTGACTAGGAGTTGGGGATGTGGCTCAGTGATAGAGCCTTTGCCTGGTACATAGACAGCCCTGGGTTTGGTCCCCAGCGCAGGAAAAAAATTTTTGACTGATATTTATATGTTTCTTAGATACAGTTCACTATACATTGGTGAGGGGATGTACCTCCATAATAATAATAAAAAAGTAATTTCTTAAACTAGAAAAGTTTTAAACAATTATCCTATAGTAATTAGAAATTTGAATACCATTCACTAAAAAGTAACATGCAAAAAAAATAAAAAATAAAAATAAAAAGTAACATGCATTTGTTTGCATTATAGTCATTCATTCACTGACATTCTGTAATGTTTATTGTATGCCTGGTGAACAAACTATTCAAGAATAATCTCTCCTGGAGTTTATAGCCTAGTAAAGGAGACAAACAATCTTACAAGTAAGTAATTAAAAACTGTAATCAAAAAATACAGGAAACTTCGTGGCACAGTGACAGGACTCAGGTTCTATTCTGGAAGTTGGAACCTTTCTTCTTCCTTTTTTTTTTTTTAATTGTTTTTAGTTGTTGACAGACCTTTATTTTATTTATATATGTGCAGTGCTGAGAATTGAACCCACTGCCTCACACATCCTAGGGAAGCGCTGTACCACTGAGCCACAACCCTGACCCCTGAAATCTTTCTTGAGGAAGTGAAATTTGAGTTAGCAAAATTAACTCACTGAAGCAGAGATGAGAGAGCAAGGGAACATGTACTTTGGGGGCTAAAAGAAGTCAGAGCCAGGGGAGGAAGAGGGCCAGTTACACAAGACTTTATAGTCCATGCTTCACAATTTGTTCTTTAACAATGAGCAAAGGAGACACTGGAGAGTTTTAAAAAGAAGAGGATCACATCAGGTTAGCATATTTAAGAAAGCATCTGGCTGATTGGAAAATAGCCTGGAGGGTTTTTTTTGTTTTGTTTTGTTTTTAATTTTTATTGTTGGTTGTTCAAAACATTACATAGTTCTTGATATATCATATTTCACACTTTGATTCAAGTGGGTTATGAACTCCCATTTTTACCCCGTATACAGATTGCAGAATCACATCAGTTACACATCCATTGATTTACATATTGCCATACTAGTGTCTGTTGTATTCTGCTGCCTTTCCTATCCTCTACTATCCCCCCTCCCCTCCCCTCCCCTCCCCTCTTCTCTCTCTGCCCCCTCTACTGTCATTCATTTCTCCCCCTTGTATTATTTTTCCCTTTCCCCTCACTTCCTCTTGTATGTAATTTTGTATAACCCTGAGGGTCTCCTTCCATTTCCATGCAATTTCCCTTCTCTCTCCCTTTCCCTCCCACCTCTCATCCCTGTTTAATGTTAATCTTCCTCTCCTGCTCTTCCTCCCTACTCTGTTCTTAGTTACTCTCCTTATATCAAAGAAGACATTTGGCATTTGTTTTTTAGGGATTGGCTAGCTTCACTTAGCATAATCTATAGCCTGGAGGTTTAAGAGTAGAGGCCTGAAAGCCAGTAAGAATTCTTTGAGGACTAGTCAAGAGGCTATAAAAGTAGTCCAAACTAGTATGCTGATAGTTTAGACTTGAGTGATTATATGAAAGACAAGACTGAAGAAATGTTTAGGAGGTAAAATCAGCAGAACTTAAAATGGTGAATTTATGGAGTGAGGTAGGAGGATGGTGGGAACGATTCCTATGTTTCCTACTATTTTATGACTGGTTGGGTGGCTGGGCCATTTCTTGTGATAGGATTTATAAGAACAGGTTGAAAGGGGAGGAGTCCCCATATGAAGAGAGCCCAGGGTAGGGAACATCATGAGTGTTAAGGAGATGGATGAATTATCCAGAAGTATAAAAATAAAGGTCTGGACCAAGCCTTCAGGGATCGGATCTCCTGTTCCAGGAAGTCAAGAAGAAAAGGATAAGCAGAGCCCATCACAGATTACAACACCTTGATATTTACTTCATATGTTTATGTGGATGTTGTTTAACAAAAATCCTCCCTGTGTGTTTGATTTTTTTTCTCATTTATTATTATGTATAATTGATTATTGATTAAACCTTCTTGTCTTCTAAAGACGACTATTCACTCTTCATTATCCTTTTTTCAAAATTTAAGGTGGTCTGCTGGAAGTGTTCTGACTACAAAGCTCAACTTGAGTATGATGGTGGGAAACTGAGCAAAGTCTGTAAAGATTGTTATCAAATAATAAGTGGATTCACAGACAGTGAAGAAAAGAAAAGGAAAGGAATTCTAGAGGTATGAAATATTAAATGTTGGACATCTTTTAGGTGTTTCTGCCAGGAACATAGAATTCTCTTAACCACGAGGAATACAAGTAATATACTTTGTTCCTCTTAGTATTTAATAATTGGAGTCACAATAAGCAAGATAACTTTTTGCTGACTTTTAGGAACTTACTTGGTTGGACAGATAGAGGGGCTGTGTTAACCAACATGCACATAGTAGCTATAATCAAATATTAGAGTATTAGTTTGCATGTCTTCTAACATTCAAATTATAGAATCTTTTCTTTATAGGAAAGCGTTTCAACTTATTGTATTAAAATAAATAGCCAGTTCATTACAGTCATTTAATAGCCAGTTCAATAGAACTTACATATCTGAAATGGGTTCACAGTCAAAGATAATATAAGCCTTTATGTAATAAGGCCTTTGTGGCAGGAAGTTCAGGGAAGCCTGGAAATAGGATCAAAATTCTATGTATCCAAAAATTAGAGATTTGGTTTAACAAGAATTTTTAAAGTGGCAGTACACACTTATAATCCTTATGGCTCAGGAGGCTGAGGCAGGAGGATTGCAAGTTGCAGACTAACCTCAGCAACTTAAGGCCCTAAGGACTTAGCAAAATAAAACATATATATATATATTATATATAAATAAAATTATATATTATGTATGTGTGTATACACACAAAACACACACACACACACACACACATATATATATATATATATATATATATATAAATTAAAAACATTTTTTAAAAAGAGGGGGTTTTTTTTGTTTGTTTGTTTTTTAAGGCTAGGATGTGGCTCAGTTGTTAAGCAACCCTGGGTTCAATCCCTGGTACTAACAAAAATTTTTCTAAAGAATAACTGATTAACTGCTAATTGAGCTTATTGAGGTAAATATACAAAGGTCATTTCTGTTAACTGAAAAAGGATCTTAAACTCCAAGTTCTCTGTTTGAAGTTAAAATATAGGCCTATATGCTGAAATTCTAAATATAATTCTGAATCCCAATGGGATATAGGTGTTACTTGTATGGCAGACCAAGATGTTGCTTTCTTGGGCAAGAATGAGAGGAGGATACTCTTCATTTACCCCCAGGAACACAGCTTGAGCCCCAAGACTTAATAGCAGCTCATGAAATTGGTACAGTATAATGAGTCAGATCATGTGTTAAATGATGAGTTTCAGGGTGTCTCTGTGAAATAAAAATCAGTAGCTAGTTTTCTAGAAAACCTTATACTGAGGGAAAATCATTTACTTATTTGGTTAATTCATTTAACTAAATACAATGTGCAGTCCATAAGTAGGAGATAAGCATGCATGCACTTAATATGTATGCATCTGAGACTTAACACTGTCCCAGCTAGACTGTTGTGTGCTGTGGAACAGTGGTCAACTTCTCTATAAAAGGGTCAGAGAAAATATTTTATTCTTTGCAGACCAAAAGGCCAGACCAAGAATATTAAATCAGTGTTTTTAAAACAAAAAGAAATAAGTTTCCACAAATTATGTTGACAAAATTCAATGTATTTGATTTATTATATTTGCAAGCTTATCCTCTTCACTGCTGAGCCATTGTTTGGATTTAAAAATTCAAAAATATTATAAATTACATATGTAGGTTTTGTAATATGGGTCTGCAAATAAGAAAAATATAATTCTCTGGGGGAAGATGACATTTCATTTAATTGGAGTCTAAAGTTAGTGTTCTTATCATCAAGTTGATTGTAAATATTCATCTGTAAAAACTACTGTTATCTTGTAGGCCATACAAAAGCAGGTGGAGTTAACTTGCAGGTTTTCATTTGCCAATACAGATAGTTTCTTGTGAAACTATCTGTGTTTAAGAAGAAACTATCTGTGATGTATCTGTGATGAAGCATCAGTTATAACCAAACCATCACAGATCAACAAAAATACACAAGCATGCACTTAGGTATCATCACAAAGTCAAATTGCTATGAAAGTTTCTTAATGTTTACTCTTACACAGAAATGTGTATCACCTGGTAACAAATCAGCACTTTGGGGGAAAAAAATGTTATCTTCCCCAGAAGAATTCCATTCTGATTAATAGACGCACATTTAAAAAAAAAAAATTTAAGTACATACCAAATATTTTAAATTTTGTCAATGAAAATTTGTGAAAGTTTATTTTCTTCATATAAGTATCTGTTACTTGGTATGGCCTCTTGGCTTGGAAAGAATGAAATATTTTCTCTCTGGCCCTTTGGCCAGAGTTTGTTAACCACTACACAAAGTTATTCTCTGGTATACATTTAAGTGTATGTATGCATTCTCTTATCTCTCACATTCACATTCCGTGACAAAACTGAGTAGCACCATACCGTTTCAGAAATAAAAATAGAAGCCAGGCTCAATGGCAAACACCTGTAATCCCAGCAGCTTGGGAGGCTGAGGCAAGGGGATCATGAGTTTAAACCAGCCTCAGCAAAACTGAGGTGCTCAGCAACTCAGTGAGACCCTGTCTCTAAATAAAATACAAAATAGAGCTGGGGATGTGGCTCAGTGGTTGAGTATCCCTGAGTTCAATTCCTGATATTATAATAATAATAATAATAATAATAATAATGAAATAAAAGTGTAAAATAAAAATTTAGGTAAATGGTTTTATTTCCTTTTTTGACAGTAATTAATATATTAAAAGCAAAGCAGAAAACTATAAAATGACTTTTCAAAAATTTGTCACAATGAAATATTTTAAATTATCTCAGGTACTAGGACAATTGATCAGTTTTTACCTTTTTGCTATTGCATTTATGCATTGTTGGAGTATTGTGGCTCAAAGTTCATGGTTTGGATTCGTACTGGGCTAAAATTCTAGCACATAAATTCCTAAATGTGTGCTCTTGGGGAAACTATTTAAAAATGCTGAACTTCTAGCTGGGCACTGTGGCTCACACCTATAATCCCAGAGGCTTAGGAGGCTGAGACAGGAGGATTGAGAGTTCAAAGCCAGTCTCAGCAATGGTGAGGCCCTAAGCAACTCAGTGAAACCTTGTCTCTAAATAAAATACAAAAAAAGGGATGTGGATGTGCTTGGTAGTTGAGTGCCCCTGAGTTCAATCCCTGGTAAAAAAAAAAAAAAAAAAGCTGAGCTTCAGAGATAATGAAAGTACTAACTTCTCAATGTTGATATGATGATTAAATTAAATACATGTATCAAGCAGAGAAAACTGCCTTTAAAAAGCAGTCAATACATGTTTATTTAAATTTGAGTTCTACTCTAATGCCATCCATTCCCTGCAAATGCCATGGTTTTATTATTTTTTAGGGCTGAATAATATTCCATTGTGTATAAATGCCACATTTTTAATCCATTCATCCATTGAAGGACATCTAGGTTGGCTCCACAGTTTAGCTATTGTGAATTGTGCTGCTATAAACATTGATGTGGCTGTGTCATTTTGTATACAGAGATATGATAAATTGTGGTATATAGGTGTATTAAGAATTGTAATGGAAATAAAGATTAAAAATAAAAATTGTAATGCTAATAGTAATAATAATAAGAGCTCATGTAAAAATAAATAGATAGATAAATAAAGAGATTTCTAGTAAGAGTTAGAGTTGACCTAAGTATTTTTCCATGTTAGTGACAGAGTTTCAAATGTAATTGCAAACTAATCTTTTTTGGACCATTCTAGAAGACATTTTATATGAATACATATTCTTTGAGTATTTTCCCTAAGTTGAACCACTTCGGTTTTATTTTGTTTATTCTTTCTGCCCATCATAATTGCTCTAGATTGAATCTGCAGAAGTATCTGGAAACAGTGTGGTGTGCAGCTTTCTTCAGTACATGGAGAAAACAAAACCTTGGCAGAAAGCTTGGTGTGTGATCCCCAAGCAAGACCCTCTTGTGCTGTACATGTACGGTGCCCCCCAGGTAACTAAACCACATCTGCTTGAAGACAAGATGCCCCCAGGGACAGAGGGAGACATGTGGACAGTGAACTCAATCCTGCCATTGCTCCTCCCTAGAACGAAAGAGCTCAGGCTGTCATTGTGTCTCATTAAAATAGAAAAATAGGTGGGATGTGGTGGTGCACATCTGTAATCGCAGTGGCCCAGGAGGCTGAGGCAGGAGGATCGCAAGTTCAAAGCCAGCCTCAGCAACTTGGCAAGGCCCTAAACAACTCACTGAGACTCTGTCTCTAAATAAAATACAAAAACAGACTGGGGATGTGGCTCAGTGTTTGAGTGCCCCTGAGTTCAATCCCCATTACCAAAAAGAAAAAGAATGAATAACTTAAGTTTGTTGTTTAAGATGATAAATTTTATAGTTGCTGTTTTCTTCACCCTGTGAATCATTTATCCCCTTTCTTTGCTCATTTCCTATTCAGTGGGTTTGAGAAAAGGTGAATTGAGTTAGGAAAGAACATGAGGAGGAGAAAGAGAAGCAGAGGAAAAAGTAAAAAGGGAGAGCACACCTTTTTAATGATAGGAAACATTAAGAAAAGTTGAGCTGGGCTTGGTAGCTTACACCTATAATCCTAGTGACTTGTGAGGCTGAGAATGGAGGATCACAAATTTGAGGCCTGCCTCGGTAACTTAGCAAGGCCCTCAGCAATGTAAAGAGACCCTACCTCAAAATAAAAAGGGCTGGGGATGTAGCTCAGTGGTAAAGCACCCCTGGGTTAAATCCCTAGTACCACTAAGTAGAGTGCTGAATGAGCTCCCTCAGAAAGGAGGTAATAGCATCAGTGGGTGCTCTCATTCATGCATTCACTCAGCCAACTCCATCGGCCTCATGTCCAGGCATTGGAACCACCCCCTCTACCCATGGAGCACTTGGAGTGAATCTGGGTTGGGCAATAGTAGCAAGAGAGGTTTTGTAGGAGCAAGGGCCACACACACAACAGACTAACAGCTCTCTCCCTCATGCAATGTTCTTTGCGCAGGATGTCAGAGCCCAAGCTACCATTCCACTCCTGGGCTATGTCGTGGATGAAATGCCAAGGAGTGCAGACCTGCCGCACAGTTTCAAACTGACTCAGTCCAAGTCTGTGCACAGCTTTGCTGCAGACAGTGAGGAACTGAAACAAAAGTGGCTGAAAATCATTCTTTTAGCTGTCACAGGTGAGACACCAGATGGTCCAAATGAGCACCTAGCCACTTTGGACGATCATCCTGAACCTAAGAAAAAATCAGAATGTTGAACTCTCGGATCAGCTGCAGCGTGTGGTCTCAAGCAAGACGTTCAGCTCCAGATATCCCCAGCTCTCCTTCCTCACCTCTTAGCACTTTACGTTGAAAACTATAGGCTCATCAATGCCACCTGTTGGGGATTGTTTTCCCATTTGTGTACTCTTAGTAAAATTAATGTGCAGAGCCATTCTCCCGGTAAAGTTTTGAAATAATGTGAAAAATGGAGTTTTTATGAACTAGAATATGTGCTTTTTGTCTTGAAGAAAATGGTGTCAATTGATTGTATCACTACCAGGTTAGAATGGGCCACTTTCATTTAAGAAATCCCTCAATGTCTTCTCTTTCACATGTAGGATCTGTAACAGTTTAAAAGATATACCTCCGTGTTGCCAAAATAGATCCATGGTGATAAATACAGGGACAGTTTAGCTATTAATATTAACTTATTTAGTTTATAAATCTCAAGCTGCATAAATGATATATGTTCTTTTAAAACAAAAGAAAAAGGACAAATTATTGGTGTTCAACCTTTTGACTTAAAAGATAATACCTGTTTTTGTAGAAATACTCTTCAGAATATCTAAAGTATATAGCAATTATCTGTATATAGTATTAAATATAAATATATATACTATACATGCTTTTCTCTTCAGCTTTAGGTTCACATTCATCTCTAATTTATTTTTAAAATAAAAAGCATGTTTTATCTTGGAATTGAGCAGTGTTCTAAACTTAAATGTTTTTGGTGATTTATGTTTAACTGATTGGCATCTAAGGGTGTTGATATTTTTATAAGAAAAAGCATTAAGTGGCATGGGGCAAATTAGTGAATTCCAACAGTATTTTTAGAGTTTTGTTTTGTTTTGTTTTGTTTGTTTTTGTTCTGTGCCTATTTAAAACAGTGCCTCTCTTAGAAGGTGCTATTAATACCTATTTAAATATAAGATGAGTGTTTAGTTAATGTTTCAGTCTTGATTATTCTGAAATTAAAGTGCATTTTGGTCACTGGGGTGGTCAAAGTCATACGGGTTAATTTACCTTTTACAAAAATATAACTGTTGTAGTATAACATCAGCGTGTGCAAAAATCTTCACCAAAACTTGAACTATAGAAGACACCTGACCTTACAGAGAACCTGGGACATGTGGAAACTACATTTATTGTCATTGTTTCCTTTTTCCATGTGACTGTTATGCATGGTTGAATAAGGACTATATCTGATGAACACTTAAGATAACTATGTGGGCCTATTCCTTGGTCAGATGTGAAACAAAATTCACACACTATAGCCTATGTTTGAAGGCAGGGGTTGAAAGATAGTAAAGGAAGTTTATGCACAACCACCTCCCCAGAGATGAGCAGGGGGTCGGGAGGACAACATTCAAAAAGCAATATTTTAATGGCAGGTTTTCAGGAGGTACAAATGATTAAAGGAGAAATTTTCCCCCTTTTATCCTCTGTGGAATTTTAATAGATTGCAATTCTTTTTCATGAAGTCTGCTGCTCTTCTTTTCTATTTTACTGGTGATTAAAATCTCACATGGAGTTGCTTATTTAATCCTTTTCTCAACCTCAGTTTTTCATTTCCTTTTACACTATCATAACTCAAGCATTATCACTTTTTATACACCAATCTGCTAGAAATTTACTATCCTCAGTCTGTAAGGACTGCATCTTAAATGAAGACAATGAGTAAATATCTACATTTACTCAGTTTGAAACTGCTATTTATTTCAGACCCTTTTGCTTTAAGAAATATGTCTTAAGATTTTTTTTTCCCACCACTCCAAAGGAGTAAATGAACCAATTATGGCTGACATAATTAGGTTCCTTTCCTCCATGAAAGGAATACCAGCCATGATCATTAACATTAAACCAAATACTTAGAGCCACAAAGAGAAAAAGATAGCTTCTTGTACCCTATTAAATCAGGGCCAAACTGAAAGAAAATGTACATTGCTTCTCTTTCCTAGCTGCCAGCTGTGGTATGTGTGTAAGAAAGAAAGAAAAACGGGTCCAGGATGGTTATTGAGAAAATGACAGCTATAGATAATACTTTGGTTTCTTAATCTCAAGAAAAGAGAAGCAATAAAAGTATAGAATGATTATCAGAGCAGGATGACTTGTAAATGTGAATAGATCATTGGATATATATATATATGGCAACTAGACAACTTATGAGTCAGATTATTTTTGAAAATTATTTGAGCAGCCAGACGACTCAATTTTTTTCCTACTAGTAAGTCCTTTTAGAATATAAGTAACATGAACACATTCAATGTTGTCTAACTTAGGTTATGGAAAGAATACTCACAAAGAGTATTATTAACGTGCTCTTAGTAGTCATTCTCTTTACTTTTTTTTTTTCTGAGAAATATCAGAACTAGAAGAAAATTTCTGGTTACCTAGCCATCATCTTCACTTTTCATCCCACAATCTTCAGTCAGTCAAGCACGAAGAGATGCAGGGTAGCAGCCTCACTCATTTGTGTCTCTTTAAAGAATCACACATTTACTTGGAGAAAGGTAAAATACTCTTAGCTATTCAACTAAGAGACCTCGAGGAGGTTGTTAAAGAGCAATTGGTGTGAGCAGTCATGACAAACTGAATTGAAAAGAAACTTTCCTATTAAAATCAACATTCCATATGGGTTTTAATGGTCATTGTCCAATTTGGTGCTTTCCAAAGTCATCTTGTTAAGTGCCCTTCTTCTAAAGTTAAAAATACTTCTTTGATAAAACTATATTCATTAGAAAACATTCCAGCTTTTAAAAAACTTAAATTTTGCTTTTGTTGAAAGTCTATCATTTGATAAGTGTGAGACTTTTATCAAGGTTTTAAGTGGAGCTCAATAATGAAAAGTTCCAGCCACTTTCATAATAATGGCATCTGTAATGCCAGCTTATATGCAAGCAATAAACTCTCCAGATATGGTTTTATATTGAAAGTTTAGTATGAAGACCCCTAGTCACAAGCATATAGAAGACTGACTTCCTATATAGTATAATTGTAATTGCTGAGTACTGAGGAGGTAAATGGTGGGGAAGGGGTGGGCATCATTCCTTGGATTCAAATACTATCAAAATCATTTTTACTTTTTCAAAGAGTGTGGAGAGTGAAACAAGTAAAGCACATATATGTATTATATTATTAAGCTATATTTTGTTTTCCATTAATTCAATATTCAGGTTATCTTTACTGGGCAACCCACTCCAATTTTTTTTAATTACCAAACTTTTTATAGAAATTCATCTTTTAAATGCACCCTATGTATTTTTTTTAAAGAGCACTTGTTCTGTCATAAATATATAAAGAAATCTGTAAACTTCATGGTACTGCAGGGTTGTTATAGATTCATTGATGCCTTCTAAAAACCTTTTCTCAAAAATCCATGTGGAAGTTCATGATTCTATTTTACTTTTTCTTATCTCTGTGGAGACAAGGTGGGTTCCCTGCCTTCAAACATTAGATCTTGTTCATTTGTATCCAAAGCCTTAAGTTATTCTTAAGCATACTGTCTGTGATATCTCTCTAAACGGATCTTTCGGCAATGGATATATTCTGAGGAATAGACACCAACAGGAGCAAATACATAAGTACATTTTAAGGAACAAAGGTCTTTTTTTGGTAAGTATCCTTGCTATAGTGCTCTATTAGAGGAGAATTAAAATTTCCTGCATCACATAATGTTCATGTTAGTGGGTCTAAGATGAAGCACATGGTATTTATAAGCTAAAATTTCAAAGGCAAGAATATCAATGTTTTCATTAGTAAATTTTTTAATCTACAAGAATGTATTAATATAAGGACTATGTGGCTAGCCAGTTCCTCTTCTTAGGACTGTGTTGACATCTATAGTGGATCATGTTACTTCTTCATTCTTACCCAGTTTTATTAGATTCAAGCTACTTTTTATTTTCATACTACTGTCTACTATAGCTTCTCTAGATTTAGAGAATATGATTAAGTAGAAAGACCACTAGGTCTTCTTAAAAAATCCTTTTTGTGAATTTCTATTGTATGTACATATGTAAAACTTATTGATTTTCAATTCTCTTTCCATAGGAAAGAAATTTTAATAGTTGAAATATTTTAACAAGTTGTTTACATGGATTTTGAATATATAATTCATCCTCATACATGCCCCTGAATCATGTTGAGTCATGGGAAGGTAACTTTGCTTTCTTTACAGATTTGGTAGAGATGAATAAGATGAGAAATTGAAAAAAATAAGAATGAACACAGGTAGATAGTCTCCAGATCAGAGCAAAGTGTGTTAAGAGAAAAATACTTAAGCTGCAGAAGGAATATAAACCATAAATTACAAATCTATGTTTTTGCATGCTGATGTGATTCATTGCACCCAGGCTTTGACCTTGGCCTCTAAATTATAGACTATGGTATCTTCTTGTTATTGTTTTCCTTTAGGTTTTTTAAAAATAGTTTCATTCTCTTAGAATATTTTTTGTACTTTTGCTAAGGCAAAACATCCCTCTAAATTAATTTATAATCTTTTACTTTCTGGACTGAGCACCTGTGAGAATGCAGTCTTTTCTGTTTTGAGCTGAAATAGCACATGACTTCAACGAGACAGTTTACTTGTTGGAGTCACTGAGGATTATATGAGGGTCATCCCTTTTCCTAAAATTCATTGTGGTAGATTTAGTGAAAAATTAAATCAAAAAAACCTCTTAGTATATTTTAATAAGTGAATACTAAACATATAGAATGAAATATAGGTTTGGGAAAAAACAATAATCTGTGGGGACCATTAGGGTAACAATTGCATTAAATATTACATAGTATATGGATATTGGAATGTATCACTGGGGGAGTCTTCATTAGCAAAACAATCACGTGTGTATATAAAACTTTTTAAAAGCCAGACTAGCATTTCATCTTGTGAGTGTCAGTTGACTGATATTTGAAAATATTATCTGGGTTTTTCTTTTGATTTGGTGACAAAGATTGAAAAGATCTGTTATCAGAATTTTACCATTGACTCTAATGTGAAAAAGTGTATACAATTTTTCTTTTCTAGCTATATGAATGTAAAATATTTGCAAAGTGTATATATTGTGTAACATATGTATATTTGGTCATAAAGGCAGATAATTGAAAATACTGTAAAATTAAGCACTTTAATTCCTATTAAATATTAAACATTTGTATCTTGTAAAATAAACACATCCTTAAATCAGTTCTAAAGCCTTATGGTGTTATTTCAGCTAGAATCATATATATTCAGTTCACAATGATTTTAGTTTTCTACTTGGGGGAAAAAAAGTAACTCCGATAGGGTACAGATGCCCTCACCACAACCCCACAAAACAACCTATGAAAGTCTTTCAAGAATAAAACGTGTGATTCAGCCAACATTTCCCAAGTATAGTCTGTGGTTTCTCCCTGTAATCACTCCAAGTCTGTCTCCAGGAACTGATAAACAGTGCTGCTTTGCACCTGGAAAGTAATACTTTACCACCCCACATGTTATGGTATTTGCCTACATTCTATTGTCTTAATATTAGTGAAATAAGCATGCAAATAAATAAAAGGCAAAGGAAATATTTAAATCTTTTTGTAATACCTTTATTTCATTTTTATGTGGTGCTAAGGATTATTTTTTTATCCAATGCCTCATGCATGCTAGACAAGTTCTCAACCTCTGAGCCACAACCCCAGCCCACTATTTAAATCTTATTGCTGCTATTGGTCATATGTCCTTGAATCCCAGTAATAAACTCCTATGATCATTACAAGAGACAAAAAAAAAATTACCATTTGACTATAAAGCACTACACAAATATTATTTCTTGACACACTTCACATTAGTACTGAGCTACACCCCCCAGTTACTTTTCTGGCTTTGTATTTAAAGCAAAAGGAATCCTAAGAGACTTTCTTTATGATTTCATAAGTGTTTCCAGAGATCCTTTTTAGAAGGTTATTAGCTTTTTTTTTTTGACCACAGAGAATTGACTATTTATTGATTGACACTTAAAAACAATTGGCATCAGCCTAAAGGGTTTCTTAACGTTGCCCTTGGATCATCAATATGGCTTCTTTGGGTCCACAGTATTCCAGGTAGAAATGTGGAAAGCACACAATTTCAGGCTTCTCAAACTGAAGTATATAGGAATCACCTGGAAGTCTTCTCAGTTCTCAGACTGTGATTTAGCTGGTCTTCGATACAAAAGGCATAAGGGCAAGAGAGGGCTGAATGCATCCTTTTATAAAAGCACCAACCCTGCCCAATGGTGGAGCTCTTGTGATCTAACCATCTCTTTTCTTTGCATTTGGTGTTTGAGATTGAACTCGAGGCCTCATGCATGCTAGGCACTACTTCTACTGCTGAACATCCCCAGCACCCTAATCATCTCTTAAAGGTCCCACCTCTTTCTTGATTTCTTTCTCAGTGGATTTGTAGTTGGTATACAGGAAAGCTATTGATTTTTGTGTTAATTTTGTAACCTGCTACTTTATCAAATTTGTTTATTAGCTCCAGCAGTCTTCTGGTGGAGTTTTTTGGATCTTCTAAATATAGGAACATATCCTCTGCAAACAGTGATGATTTGACTTCTTCCTTTCCTATTTGTATCATTTTTGTTTCCTTCTCTTGCCTAATAACTCTGGCTAGAATTTCTAGCACTATATTAAATAGGAGTGGTGAGAGTGAACATCCTTGTCTTATCCCAAATTTTAAAGGAAATGTTTTTGGGTTTTCCCCATTTACTATGAGGTTGGCTTTGGGTTTTTCATATACAGCCTTTACGATGTTCTGGTAAGTTCCGTCTTTCCTTAATTTCTTTGATTTTTTTTTTTTTTATAATGAACAGGTGCTGAATTTTGATGAATACCTTCTTTGCATCTATTAAGATTACTAAGTGATTTTTTGTCCTTAATTCTGTTAATATGATGAATTGCATTTATTGATTTGCTTATATTAAACCATCCTTGCATCTCTGGAATAAAACCAACTTGGTCATGGTGTACAATCTTCTTAATATGTTGTTGAACATGATTTGCTAATGTTAAGTATTTTTGCATCTAAGTTCATCAGGGATATTGGTTTGTAGTTTTCTTTCTTCTGTGTGTCTTTTTTTTTGTTTTTGGTGTGAACGTCATAATAGTCTCATAGAATGAATTTGGAAGTGTTCCATCCCTTTCTATTTCATGGAATAATTTGATTAGTTCTTCTTTAAAGGTTTGGTAGGATTCAGGTGAGAATCCATCTGGTCCTGGTTTTTTTCTTTGTTGGAAAGCTTTTTATTTTTTATTTTTTAAATATTTTTAGTTGTAGGTGGGCACAATACCTTTATTTATAAATAAATGTAGTGCTGAGGATCGAACCCAGTGCCTCACACATACTATGCGAATGCACTACCTCTGAGCCACACTAAGAAAGCTTTTTATTACTGCTTGTATCTCATTATAAGTTATTGGTCTGCTTAGGTTTTCTGTGTCCTCTTGATTCAGTTTTGGCAGATAGTATTTGTCTAAAAATATATCCATTTCTTCTAGATTGCCCAATTTATTGGAATATAAGTTTAAAATAATCTCTAATGATCTGCTGAAGTTCTGAGATGTCGATGGTAATTTCTTTTTCTTCATCTTAAATTTTATTAATTTTGTTTTTCTCCCTTTTTCTTTTGGTTAGTTTGGCTAAGGGCTTATAAATTTTGATTATCTTTTTAAAGAACCAACTCTTGGTTTCATTAATTCTTTTATTTTTTTATTCTCAAATTCATTGATCTTGGCTCTGATCTTAACTATATACTTTTTTTAAGATTTAAAAAAAATTTTTTTAGTTGTCGATAGACCTTTACTTTGTTTATTTATATGCGGTGCTGAGAATCGAACCCAGTGCCTCACACATGAAGGCAAGTGCACTACAACGGAACCCCAGCCCCAATTATTTCCTTTTTTTCTACTAGTTTTGGACTTGCTTTGTTCTTTTTCAAAGACCTTGGGAATCATGTTTAGGTTATTTATTTGGGATCTTTCTGATTTTCTTTTTTTTAAATATTTTCTTAGTTGTAGATAGACCTTTATTTTATTTATTTATTTTTATGTGTTGCTGAGGATCAAACCCAGGGCCTCACACATGCTAGGCAAATGCTCTACCACTGAGCTACAGCCCCAGCCCCCTTTCTGATTTTCTTATGTAGGCATTCATAGCTATAAACTTGCCTCCATAGTGTCCCAGAGGTTCTGGTATGTTGTATCACTATTCTCATTTGAGTCTAAGAATATTTGATTTCTCCTATCACCCATTCATTGTTCAAAAGAGTAATTGTTCAGCCAGGGGCAATGGTGCACACCTGTAATCCCAGTGGCTCAGGAGGCTGAGGCAGGAGGATCACAGGTTCAAAGCTAGCCTCAGCAAAAGCGAGGTGCTAAGCAACTCAATGAGACCCTGTATCTAAATAAAATACAGGGTCTCATTGGGGATGTGAGTCAGTGGTCAAGTGCCCCTGAGTTAAATCCCTGGTACAAAAAAATAATTTTAAAGGGGGGCTATTGTTCAATCTCTATGTGCTTATATAATTTCTGTAGGGTTTTGTTACGTTGATTTCTAATTTCATTAAGATCTGATAAAAAGCAAGGAATTATATCAATTTTTTTGTATATGCTAGGAGTTGCTTTGTGGCCTAAAATGTGGTCCATTTTGGAATAGATTCTATGAGCCACTAAGAAGAAACTGTATTTAGCTGTCATTGGATGAAATATTCCTTAGATGTATGTAGGTCCACTTGATTTATAATATTTTTCAGGACCAAAGAGTTTTTACCAAGTTTATATCTGGAAGACCTATCAGGTATGTTGAAATAACCCAGGATTATTGTATTGGAATCTATCTAAGGCTTTTAATTTGAGTAGCATTATTTTTTAATGTACTTAATTGCAACCATATTTGGGGCATAAATATTTACTATCATTATATCTTCTTGTTGAACTGTTCCCTTTATGAATATGAAATTAATCTCTTCTGATTAATTTTGGTGTGAAAATCTGCTTTGCTGGATATGAGAATAGCCAGTCCTGCTTGTTTTCAAGCTCCATATTAATATCTATCCTTTCACTTTTTTTTTTTTAAACAATACCTTTATTTTATTTATTTATTTTTATGTGGTGCTGAGGATCGAACCCAGGGTCTTGCACATGTGAGGTGAGCGCTCTACTACCGAGCCACAATCCCAGCCCCTATCCTTTTACTTTTAGCCTATGGCAGCCTTAGCCTCTAAGGTGTATCTATTACAAACAACATAAAATTGGGTCTTGTTTTAATTTATTCTACCAGGCTATGTCTTTTAATTGGAAAGTTGAGACCATTTACATTTGATATTATTATGGAGAGAGGTTTATTAATTCGTGCCACTTTGATTTATTTATCACATTTAATTTGGTCCTGTTTCTCATTTGCTTAGCTACTCTTCAAATGAGATTTGTTCATTTGTGAGTGCCAAGGTTTGTTTTTATTTCTATCATATGCAGTATTTCTTTCTTTTAATTTTTTTTTACTTATAGATGGACACAATACCTTTATTTTATTTATTTATTTTTATATGGTGCTGAGGATTAAAATTGATGCCTCACACATGCTAGGCAAGCCCTCTAACACTGAGCCACAACTCCAGCCCCATATGCAGTATTTCTTTGAGTAGGTTCTATAGTACCAGTTTAGTAGTCATGGATTCTTTTAGTTTCTGCTTATCTTTTAAGGTGGTGTTTGTTTGTTTGTTTTTCTTTCTTTCTTTCTTTTTTTTTTTTTTGTCTTTTTTTTTTGTGGGAGGGCACTTAACCACTGAGCCACTACCAGAGCCTTTTTTGTTTTTATTTTAAGACAGGGTCTTGCTAAGTTCCTGAGGCTGACTTTCAACTTATGATCCTCCTGCCTCGGCCTCCCAAGCTGCTGGAATTACAGGTGTGTGCCACCATGTCTGGCTTCTTAGAATGTTTATTTCATCTTGATTTTGAATGATACCTTTGCTGGATATAACTGTCTTGATTAACAGTTATTTTCTTTCAGGGATTGGAACACATTGTTCTAAACCCTCCTGGCTTGTAGAGTTTGTGCTAAGAAATCAGAAGTTATTCTGATTGGCTTGCCTCTAAAAGTGACCTGATGTAACCTGATGTACCTTGAGGCTTTAAAAATTCTATCCTAGGCATTTTAATTATAATGTGTTGTGGAGAGACTGT